GAGGACTGTTGTCCAACCACGTACCCAAGCCTGTGCCGGACCATGTTGCTGAGCACTTTACCCAGCCTAGTCTTGAAAAACACAGGGTATGGGAACTGCACAGTCATTTTGAGCAACCTGTTTTAATGTTTTACTGTTCTCAAGGTGTTTTTTTTATTCAGGCTGAACCTCACTTGTTTCAATTTATCACAGTTACTTCTCCTACCACACACCACTGTGAAGAGCCTGGCTCTGTCTTCTCCATAACCTCTTCACAGGTGAGGAGCTTATTAGGACCTCCTGAGGCCAGGCTAGCATTGCTCCTTGGAGGGTATCTGTCCAGTGCGTAGTTTGTCTCATCCTTAAGGACTGCTGGAGTTTTGGTTTTCACTGCTTCCTAACAGAATGTATAAAGTATCCCTGTCAGGAAGCTATTATCAGTACACCTCCTGTACATTCCTTTTTTGATTTCATCTTCTTACCTTATTTTAAAAGTACATGAAGACCATGATCGTATTGTTAAACAGGTTGCTAGCAGAACAGGGAAGTGATTTTGGCCAGTGGGTAACAGAACGGTGCCTAACAGAAAGAAGGCTGACTAGAGTCATCATCAGACCTGAACTGCCAAACTGAGGAAACTGAATGAAAGGCTGAAATTCCGTGTCTAATTCTGATCATCTGGTAATTCTGCACTGGAGAATCACTGTTGACTTGCGCTGCATTCCGCTTTCTAGTGTGGGAGCCAAAAAAGTTCTGTTCTGACTGCCAACATTGGGCAGTCTGTACGGAATGAAAAGAGACAAATGATGCCCCTGCACTGTTTTATTGATGCATCAGTAGGATCAAACGTCTTAATTTTCAGTGTAATGTGAAGTTTTATGAATATCCTTTGTAGAGATATTAAGTCTTGTTAAGTGTTTTTAGGTAGGTATTAAAAGAAGTAGCAGGGTGTCTTTTTGTTGTTTGTTTGTTTCAAAATAAACTTGCAGAGTTTGGTAGGTAAGCGTGGATGGTAGAACTAGCCTCAGCATTTCCAATGGTGGTAACTGGTGCCTTTGGGAGCATTTTTGAGACCATGATGTCTGGTCTTTCAATTATGCTTTTGTGCTACATTTGGCAATACGTTAGATGTACTTTCTAGGCAATGAGCTGTGACCCTGGTATACCTGCAATGGCGCTTCATTCAGAGCAGACCTTTGCATTAATTGATAGCAAGGGGCAAATTCTTGCATGTGTGATTCTCTTCCTTACAGGAAGAGTTTATAAAACAGAACAAAACCTCTTGTGAAGAAAAAAAAAAATCTACTGTATACTAAAGAATTTTCCAGGTGTTTATCATTGAAGGGTGAGACTCTGAGAAATGAACTTTGAAAGGTTGCGAACCCTTGAGGAAATGGTAACAGTGTACAAAGGACTCAATTCTTGTGTATCCTGTTCCATGGGGTCTGAGGAGAAACTGTGTTATATGGTAGTGAAAGCAAAGGGAGATCACATTCTTGATGCATTTATTAAAAATGGTTGCTTGGGTGTTTTTTAATGATCCTTTCCTAGGACTGGATATAGGAACATGGCTGAGCATATCAAACAGCAGTCTCTGAGGATGTTTGTTAATGAAATCTTGGAGCAGTTTGCAATTGGATTTACCGAAGGCATGTGTACTGCTATTGAGCAGATGTCTCTGGCAGTGAACTAATCTGATGAGGGGAAAAAATGTTAGAGAGAATCTTTACAATCCCAAATCAAAATCCTTCACCAGCATCGGGAGAGCTTTTTTGTAACCCGATATTTTGTAGTACGGAGAAGTGATTAACAGTTTTTGAATAACAAGCAGTTGAAGGGCTCAGATGGAGGGAGGAGGGGAAAAAGAAAAAGATATGCAATGGAAGATTGGAAACAGCAGAGAAAATTATTTAAAGCACTTGACTTCCATGAAGACATCCTGAATGTACAATGGAGGTTATGCGAAAGGTGCTAGAGGAAACTTCTGCCAGACTTGCCTTTAATGCCGCTGCAGAATAACAATGAAGTAATTCTCTCCAGAATGCCTCTTTGCTGAATTCTTCAGCCATACATTTTAGGAACTGATTGGTTTCTGTGAGCAAAAATGCCAAATGTATCTGTTTGGATGATAATATGTTGCTTGGGGAACAAGAAACTTTGGACTGCCTTGTGCTGCATACCTGCTGATGCAGACAGTGGCCAGTGTTTCAATCCTTTACTCCTTGTTACCAAGACAAGAAAAAATGTTCATCTGCATTGTTTAATTCCTCACAATTGCTATGAGTTGCTTTTCATTCTTTAAAAATTAGAAATTATTCATAAAGCCAAAAGTATGTACTGTACAAATACAGTCCCTGAGTAATGCAGTAGTTTTTTTATCTGCAGTGGGGTAGCTACTGCTTTGTTTGTTGCTTCTGGTTTACTTAGCTTGGTTACAGAAGACATCAAGAGGTAGTTCAGGACAGTGAAACGGGAATTCTTCTCTGCAGCATGCTTCTCAGTTAACGCCTCTGTAAGTGGCTCATCTGTAAAATAACACAACACCTTATCTGCTTTTGCAAAATACTTAGGATTAGAATACATAGAAATTCAAGGATTTTATTAATTGTGTCTCAATACGTGTGCCCTTCACATCTTCTATGATACAGGTCCTAATTTTGTCAACACCTCTGTCTCTTTCAAATGCTTTGAACATTCTCAAACATTCCCTTTCTTCTGGCACATCTAAAACATCAACTGAATACATTTAAATTTGTTCACGAAGATGATTCAAAACATGCTTTTGAATTCCACGTAGGCACTTCTAGCTGGGTCTTAATGGCCATTCAGTGCACAGCATACTTACTCCCTGTATTCCATTGTATTATATTGTATTATTACATATTATAATATTGCTTAGGTCATGTTTCCCATTTTTATAGAAAAGAAAATCATTATCTGGTATGATATGGAGCTTTCTCGTGTAGAGATATATATCATGGTTTCCACCATTCTCATTGTCTGTATCTTTCAGACGGATTCAGCCTACTACAAATAGTGTTTTTGTATCAGAAACACTGTGACCAGCAGGGCTAGGGAGGTGATCGTCCCCCTGTACTCGGCTCTGGTGAGGCCGCACCTCGAGTACTGTGTTCAGTTTTGGGCCCCTCGCTACAAGAAGGACATCGAGGTGCTTGAGCGGGTCCAAAGAAGGGCGACGAAGCTGGTGAGCTGGAGAACAAGTCCTATGAGGAGCGGCTGAAGGAGCTGGGCTTGTTCAGCCTAGAGAAGAGGAGGCTCAGGGGTGACCTTATTGCTCTGTATAAGTACATTAAAGGAGGCTGTAGAGAGGTGGGGGTTGGCCTGTTCTCCCATGTGCCTGGTGACAGGACGAGGGGGAATGGGCTAAAGTTACGCCAGGGGAGTTTTAGGTTAGATGTTAGGAAGAATTTCTTTACTGAAAGGGTTGTGAGGCACTGGAACGGGCTGCCCAGGGAGGTGGTGGAGTCACCATCCCTGGAAGTCTTCAAAAGACGTTTAGATGTAGAGCTTAGGGATATGGTTTAGTGGGGACTGTTAGTGTTAGGTTAGAGGTTGGACTCGATGATCTTGAGGTCTCTTCCAACCTAGAAATTCTGTGATTCTGTGATTCTGTGAAATAGACACAGATCCTTGACTTCACTCAAGGCCCTTTTTACAGTGACTGAACACCAGTTCTGTGCTTTCCACAGCATTACTCCTGCATGTATATAAGTACAAGAAGGCATAGAATCAGATGCTGTGGGCTGCAAGCTTAAAAAAAAAAAAAATCTTGACAAATCTGGGAGCTGAGAATTGTGTGCTCCTATCCCCTCAACTTCAAGAGGAGCTTTAATCTAAGGTTAACATCAGAGTCTCAGGTACTCTGTTGTCCTTACAGAAGCACAGATGTTTGCTGGTGGATTGTTAGCATGAGATGCTGCAGCACTACGTGCTTCTGGATTAAAAATATTTGTAATGTCAAGTGGAACAAATGTAAAGGTCTTCGTGCTGGTTGCTGTGATAGTGCTAACTTGGATTGCCAGACCCGTCAGAAATTGAGATGTGAGTTCTGACATGAAAAACTCAGGTCCTGAATCGCATTGCAATCCACAGGCCCAAGAGCAGAATTTCCCCTCTAAGCTTTAAAAAAAAAATAGCTGGAGGAATGGAGTGTAATTTATCCTGCAGTTGCATAGTGATGATATAACTTAAAGTAATACTGGAAGAAATGTTCTGCTAATTTTTATTTTTTTCCTGGAATAGCATGGAAGTGTCACTGGATACATCATATCCTTTGGAAAATGTGTTCTTATATAATTCTAATAATTCTTATATAATTCTAATAATTTCCGTTTTTCTTAGCCATTTTGTGGAAAATAATTTAGCACTTGGAGTTTACAGATCAGCAAGGCTAGCATATACATAGCTCTTCTGGGAGGATTGTTTGAACATCTACACTGTGTTGGAATCCTTGCGCTTACTCTGCACTTACTCTGCACTTATTCTGCTGTTTCATTTCCTCTATGCAGCAAGTTTAAAATCTCATCATCTTTATGGTCCCCATTTGTCTTCATTTCTCCTAAGCCAGCCTTCTGTTGGTGACCTCACGGCTTCTGACTGTTCCAGAAGTGGAGATGGCATAAGTGGGTGTGACTAAAATGAAAAATGCAGCTAAATTGGGTGATTCAGAGTAGGATGAGATAATGTGGCATATGATACTATTTTAAACTTTTTGTATTTTGTTCATCTAAGTCTGAATGTATCAGCCCCTAAATAAAATGTGGTAATTGTAGTGCAGTGTATCTCATGTACTCAGGTTGTAAATCAAAAGATACATGTTATGGAGCTCTGAAATAAAGAAACAAAAGCAAAATCATAACTTATCTATTACCTTATGTGTGTCTGGATGAAGAAAATGTTCCAGTCAGACGAGACAGATATGAAAGAATATGGTTAAAAACATGTATCTTTGAGGTGTTTGTTGTACCTTCTTACTGCACTTCTGCTTTCTCTACCCCTAGCTTTCTTTGGAAAGTACCTTAACGAATACAATGGTTCCTATGTGCCTCCTGGCTGGAAAGAATGGGTTGGATTACTTAAAAATTCTCGATTTTACAACTACACACTCTGTAGAAATGGAGTGAAGGAGAAACATGGATTTGACTACTCCAGGGTAGGTCTTACCAATTTATTTCTTTTTCTTTAATATTTTAGTGTGACTGCAAGAAAGCTACGATTTATGGTTTCAGGCTAATTAAAGAATTCTCTTCATACTTGAAAGCTGCTCTGTGTTACATCAGCTACAATGCAGAAGGCTCCGTGTTTGGACTTTCTGTTATCTTCCATTCCACGCAGGTCATGTTACTGAAAACATTGTTAGCAGAAATAGAAACAAACAAAACATCCTGAGACTGTTAATGTGTGTTATGAGCTGCAGATGTGAAAATGGATTTATATGCTGCATGACAACTATTTTTTGTCTTTGTACTATAATTATCGTGTGCTAAATCCGATTGTCATCTATTCCCCTGGTATAGAACTGATTTCAGTGGAGTTGCACAAGCATAAATGAGATAAGAATCCAGTTCCCTCCAGCTAGACCCATCTTTTTGTGTTAAAGGAACTTGTTTCACAGCCAGATGAGGAGAATTCATACTATCTTGGTATATCTTACGATAATTCTGACTTCACTGTCTGAATGAAGGCAGAATTTAATTATTAAATTTATATCTTGATGTATTGTTAAAGGTGTGTATGTTCCTAATACACTTCCAAGGATGTTGTACTGTGGCCAAACTTAGTAAAATACTTGATAATTATTGTGAAATATAATGTCATCCTGTGTCACCCCTCAATCTCATTACAGATCAAACAGTTACCTGTTTGCATACAGGAGAATGTTTATTTCAGATGTAAATGTTAGTTTTCCAAAGAAATCAGCTTTTCTGTAGTATAACTATAAAAGAGTTAATCAGTAAATGGCTATAGTTTAAATAGTGTATAACTTCAAAAGTTGACTTGCTGAGGAATGATACGGATTTATAAGGTGTATTTGCTTAACAAAAATTGAGTTCACTTTCTCCTGTTGAGCACAAATCCTGCCTTCCTCTTTTTGTTTCATTAGTGATGTGTTTTTTTCTTGCAAAGGTTGATGTCTATGTGATTTCCTTCTTCCCCTTATTCATTTGCCATTTTTAATAAAATGTAGTTTGTGCTGAAAGATAAAACTTAACAGGTTTCTATGGTTTTCTTTTCCATTACCAGTTGCTAGGAGTAAGGGACAACTTATGTACAGAATTATTTGTCTTTTATTTCCCTCCTGATCTATGAAGAATCAGAGAGCTAATCTTTACAGCTGTGCTACCAGAAACATTATGGAAATTTACCTTACATGGAGCAATGTCAGGCAAGTGATTTCAAAGGGCAGCGTTCCCCATTGTTACAAAAAGTCAACAAGGAACTTTATGTTCCAAGAGTCTCAGCTCTATTTTGTATATGCAATACTTGAAAATGTTTAGGTTTTCAGTTGGTTCCGTTTTTTTTACTGAGTTTGTTAATAAAATAAAAGAAAGCAGTCTGATGAAAATGTAAATGTTTTTATAATCTTCATATTCTTGCCTAATACACAGCTATGATAATAAACAGATAGTGTGCAGAGCAACAGTATGTGTTGATGTTAACGCTGGAGTTCAAATGAACAAACACAAGCTGGAATACAAGACTGCTCCTCTATTCTTCCTATCATTTTTGTTGCTGGAAACCTACTTTTCCAGTAACAAACAGTACAATCAGATTGTATTTTAGCCCTATCATCTTGACATAACTAATGCTAATTATGTGCCAGTGGAAAACTGAAAAAAAAAAAACCACACAAATTACTGATTCTGTCCTCCAGAGCAACTGCTAAGCATTTATCCTCTGAAAATCAAATCTTTGCAAATTCTTTCAGATTCTCTAACAGGAAGTATTCTACTGTATTTTTTTCTTTTTCAATTTCTTTCAACTTTTTAAGTTGAATTTTTAGTCTGGTTTGCATTCACAGAGTCTTCTACAGTCTCCACAATCTGGAGCTTTTAAAAAAATAAACCACTTGAAGGAAATGTTTCTGTTTGGTCTTTGCCCTGGCAAGCACTTGTGTTTGCAAAATTAAGTTTGAATCTTGTTTTGACCAGGTGAAGATCTTCATCTTCAAAATAGAATTTGAAGACTATTCTCGCTTAATGTCTAAGTCAAAGATGAGTTACATACTTGAGAAAGTGACCAGCCAGTTTAAAGAACAGGCACATTTTAGATATGTGTCGGTGCTTTTTTGAAAGTGTGGTCAGTTACTGAGACTAATGTTCAGAAGTCAGATTTTCTTTGTGTTTGTTTGTTTTTTTTTGCCATATATCATCACTTCCACTGCAAATGCTTATGAATGGAGTTTCTTCAGTTAACTTTGGATTTATGCCTAATTACACTTGCTTTCAAGATGAAAATATCATATCAATAGTAGTCAAAATCATGGTAGTTTCATGACAGATACGCCTTGTATTGGGACTAGTTATAAATCTGTAAATGGAGAGATTGCCAGCCTGGTTCTGGGATACGCAGGAAATAAGTGGGGGAAAGTAAATACAGTCAATGAAAAAGTTCTCTGATTACTCAGAAGCTGTCTTCTCAGGTCATGGACACTGGCAGTGGTAAAGAGCAGTTAGCATCCAAACCACGGAAAAAATCAGTACGTAAAAGGAGGTGCAGTGCAGTACGTACCACACCTTGTTCACTTGACCAGAAGCAGTCATTATGTCCAATTTTATGTTGAGCTGTGACAAGATTTATTTTTTTTTTAAAGAAGTGTCTTTCTTATCCTAATCATGTTTGACGGGTATTTATATTTGCAACATTTCCCATGATACAGCCAGCCCAAGGGGGAACATGGCCTGTTATTACAAATACTGTCTTCAATCCGTATAGCTTGAGCATATATCAGATGTATATGATACTTCTTGGAAAATAGAATGAAGTCCTTATCTTCCAAAGGGACTCCTTTACGTTACTAGTGATTAATTTGATAGAGGTATATCTTCATCAGATTGTCATTGTGCCTGTAAAATAGAATGGAATTTTGGGTCCATTCAGTCCAGAATCTTCTAGTTTTAGTGACTTCTGGTTCAGAGGGAGGAGAAGAAAAATGAGTATCAATCCATTTGAATTTTCAAAGCACTTTTATGATAATAGGGTTGGACTACACACCTTGAAGATTTCACCAAAAAGAAAATAAATTAACCTCTAATTTTCTTCTTTTTTTCCTCATTAATACTTGGTCATTGTAGTTGTTATTGTGATCTTCATAATTCAGTTATACACTATTTGATTTTTAATGTCATTCATTTCAGAGACAAAACTGTTTCCTTTCATATTTCTAAACAGTGAAGAGGCAATTATTTGATTTTATGTTTTGCAGTTTTAACATCTATAATTTACTCCCTCCTTTTCCCTTTCTGAGCTAAGTAGCTTTTCTTTTCCTGTTTCCTATGATATCTAAGACCTCCTGTTCCCATCGCACCCCGAACTTGAAATTATTTTTAAAGTATCTCATTATACTTTTCCTTCTATTTGCAGGATTATCTAACTGATCTGATAACCAATGACAGTATTACATTCTTCAGAATCTCGAAGAAGATGTATCCTCACAGGCCTGTATTGATGGTTATAAGCCATGCTGCTCCTCATGGACCTGAAGATTCAGCTCCTCAGTATTCACATCTCTTTCCTAATGCTTCGCAACACATGTAAGGAAAACTAAAATTCTGTTATTTTCAGGTTCAGATGTATAAAAATCCTGGGTACCTCTGGGGGAACAGTATTTCATAGTACTCTGGGCATGACTTTGTCACAAAGGAAGAGTTTGGAGATTTTTTTGTACCTCTTTGCACTAGTACAGGTGGCTACTGCATCTAGAACTCAGGAATGTAGCTCACAGATAAATAGAAAATTTCATGTTGAATCCGTTGGACATTGTTATAGCCTATTTGGGAAGTGAAGCACTGTTTTATTTTTAGAAGAAGAATCAAAGTCTGGTTCTTGAGTTGTAGCCTCTTTGGTGGAAGAAACCCTGTCTCCCTGTCGATAGACACAGACATACTGTTTCATCACTATTAGCAAAAATCACATAGTATATATTATGTATTACGCCTATTTTCCATATAGAAAGAGAGGAAATAGAGGCCTGCAGCATCAGATGAGACTGTCCATTTCTGAATGGGCTGGTGTATCTGAAAATGATGCAGTACAGTGTTTAGCTAAGGTCCCCAAGTCATCTAGTTACCAAGTTAATATTTTAATAAGCTCCAGTGCAACACCATGATAAGATGGTTCTTGTTTATAACCACAGAGACAGTTTGCAGGTACAGCCCTGTAATTCTCTACTACAGGCATCTCATCTCATGCTGATAAATCAAATGATTCACCCAAATCCCCCTTTGTCACAATGGAAAATATTATGTGTTTTTCTAATTACTATCCTTATGTCTTCGTTGATGCTCAACACTTGCAACTTTCTTCCTTTTGCCTCATTTTTTAAGTGGAATTCTGTATTATTTTGGATTTGTGAAGGAACTGGTAACTGATTGAAGTAATAATTGGTAGTCAAGGCTGTTCAGGACAAATCCAAAGTCCAATGAAATCCATTTGAGCTTTTTCACTTCATTTAAAATAGGGTCTGAGAGGAAAAAAGCTTCCCTTGTTCTGTTGTCTAGGTGTTGTGTAACTTAGAATTGTATTTCTTTGTTCTGTGCTGTGCTGACAATCTGTGTCCTAGATCTCAGCAATGTAGTATTTCATGTTTGTTTGCCTTCTTATGCTCATTTATTTTCTCTGAAATTAAAGTTACAGAGATGCCAAACGAGTAACTTCTGCTATTGCTTATACTCAGTATTGACATGGGTTTTAGCAGAAGTTCTGGTAAGCATTTGTATCTCAGAGATTATGATCTCTTATCAAACAATATTCTGGCACAGTTTTATGGTGGTTGATTGAAAAAGAGTAGAAGGATTTGAGGAAGGCTAACAATGAAAAATATAAACTACATCTATTTTGCTTATGATGTAACTTCTATTTTCACACAAACTAGGTTTATCTTCCTCATTACAAAATAGTTACACAAAACTATTTTTAATTGCAAGTGCTTTTTTTTGTGATGATAATTATACAGGAAATAACACTTTGCAGAAGTACATTTTGTTAGTAAAGAAATAACTTAGTAGATTAAGGAATTGTGGGTTTTGTTTTTTTTAGATATAAACATAAAATAGAATTTTATATACTTCCCGTGCAAAGAAACTGCCAATCTTATTCCAAATACTTTTCGTGTCATTACATAAAAGTAATCTGTAAGGATGTTCACTGGCCTGGTTTTAAGAATAAATTTAAAAATGCAGAACATGCATCATTCCCTTACTGTATATACATGTTAGTCCTCTGGTTTCTATTCCTTCTCCTGTCCCCACATCCCAGGGAATCACTCAGTGACAGATAGATCTGTCAGTGACAGTGTATGTAGTTCTCACTGTTCTGTTATCTTGTGGATAAGATAGGGAAAGCTCAGGACACAAGTAGAGCACTTGTTATGAATTGCCATGAAGCAATACCCTGAACAAAGTCTTTGCCCAGCCCTGGAATCAGAAGGCAATACACCATGTAACAAGTCTTTGTACCTCGACTTGTGGCAGCATTGACAAAGTCTGCATGCAGATTCTTAAGCTGTATCCACAAAGCAAAGTGCAGATGCAACTGTAATGCTTATGCTGGTTGTCATACATGCTGTGTTGTCTAGCATTGCTAATAGGAAAAGTTAGCGCTATGGATTTTAGCATAGACTGACAATCGGAGTGTGTTGTGCTTCTATTATTACAGGTACTAGCTGGTATGAATATTCTACCCTATACTACAGTGTCTGTCCTCCTTGTTCTGTAGAGTTCCTTTTTGTGTGTACCTACAGTCTTGAAAATTATCCTTATCCACCAGCATTCAGCAGAGCAAATCTGTGGGCTAAATGGCCGGTTTTCCTTTTTTTACCATATATACACGTAGCTGCAGAGAATGCAACTGCTGGGCAGTTTAACAGTCATCAGAAATATTATTTCTGTAGAGGGTACACTTTACCACCCATTTTTTCCAAGGTCAAATGCAATCAGACTAGGACTTACCTTCTGAGTACATTTGAAGGAATTATCTTAACCAACTTCTAGGAATGTTACGTTTGTGTATTTTTCCCATAAGACAGACAAATCTGTTAAGCGTAAGAGGGTTACATTTGTAGTAATCAAAGAAAATCATGGGCTTTGGTCGGATTAAACAGTGGGAGGTTTCAAATCAGCCAGGAAATCACAAAGTAAGCTGAAAAGGAGTTTGCCAAGCATTTTTGATTCATTCTGGGCATCACATAGCAACAGTTTCCATAACTGTCAGCATTTTCAAAGGAGCAATGTCATTATTTCAGCCACAACAATGTTCTGAAATTCAAGAGGCTATTAACAATACACAGAGAATAAACACCAGCCCTTTCCCCCCTATATGAAGAAGCCTCCATTTGCTGCCTACGCACATTTTGCAGATAGCATCTAACAAAGGCTTTCTGCATATAACATTTCACTGTCAGATTATTAATTTCTTATTTATATAAAGACTTAAGATTACCTGTCATATTCAAAGATACATTAGATACACTTACTTCAAGGAGAAGTTTCAGTTTATATTACTATTGTTTATCTTAATAGCCTACCCTGCTGCTCTGTTGCATGCACAAAAATAACAGTAGATATTTGCCAAGTAGGAGATGAATTTATCAGGAAATTGTGTTTGGGAAGAAGAAAATAGCTGAGTATCTGCTATTTTTTCCTGTTTTACTGTGTCACCGTCTTGGCTTGCACTTTTTGCATAGACTGAGTTTATTACTTTGAAAGAAAAGGCCTTAACAAATCACATAGGAAAAGTAATTTTTAATATTTTAGACTCTGCGTATGGTGTGTTTGAACTAGGATAGGAAGAAACTCATAAAAGTGGTTCTCAGCCTTAAGGAATTAAAAAAAAAAAAAGGAATATTTATGGTAGGTACAAATAATATTTCTTGTAAATATAAGCTATAAATACAGCTTCCTAGTGAGCTGGTGATACAAGGAGTCAACATCATGATAAAAATATTCCAAAATAAATCTTTTGTTTAGATCCAGTTAGCTTAGAGTGACGTAATTATGCACAGAAGAGCAATCTCTGAAACTGACAACCACGTGAAATAATGGTCAATGAGTAATATTTCTCCTCATAACTTTAATGGTTGCAACATTATGAGTACTTAGAGGGTCTGTGAGGTTCCAGGAAGACATTGAATCCAGCTTTGGGGATTTTTGCAGGAAGTTTAATTATTTGTTTTTAGTTTGAACTCATCAATTCAGAATATGGAAGTTTCTTACAATCACAATACAGTTGGTGGCTTTGAAAGTATCTACAAAATACAGTCCTGTTTCCCCTCACCTCTGCTTTTCCTGGCAGGTCTTTAAAATCTGGCCATGCATCTATCTACTTCTGCTTGCCATGAGCTCACATTCAGTTTGATACCACCAGGTAGGGTGCCTGTGCATCCCCCTAAACTAAAGTATTAAAGTAGCCAGTCATGTTTAATTCAAAAAAAAAAAAAGCTGTTAAACAACATAGCAGAACCTTCTCAGCAAGTTTTATAGTTATTGTCAAATAGCCTTTACTGTGCTAATGTGGGCAGAATGAAAGCAAAGCAATAACGTGTAGAAGGAAACTCTACCTGTACTATGTGCTCTTTATATAAACGATACATCCCATTTGTGAAGTTAGACACCGAGGCTAGTCTCTTGGCGTTGAAACGTATCTGTTAGTCTGCAGACATTGCAAAAATGCTTACACTCTTAATAGGTTTTAGTTCCCTCAGAGCTTTTTCCTGCCATCTTACACGTGGAATGTGAAAGAATAGACTTCTCCAAACTAAATCTAATATTTTCTGGTGTACTTCAGAGAGCATGTCCTATAGTGTTGATCAAACAGAAATTGTTACACGTTGTCATGTTTTTTCTCTACACTGCTAAAGTATTCTGCTTTTCTCATTACTTCTTAGCACTCCTAGTTATAACTATGCTCCAAACCCAGACAAGCACTGGATAATGAGGTATACAGGTCCCATGAAACCTATACACATGGAGTTCACTAACATGTTGCAGAGAAAGCGCCTTCAAACACTCATGTCTGTGGATGACTCTATGGAGATGGTAAGATTAGTAGTCACTTTTTAAATCAGTAAGTGCTTACTTCTTGAGTTAAACTCTAAACAGTGCTGTATATGCAGATAAGGGGGCTGTATATGGAGATAAGAGGGGGAGGAGGACTGCTGCAGTTTTTAAATAGTGTGTTATCCTTTCACTGCTGAGGATGTTGTCTCTCTGTCAACATATAAGGATCCTCATCTCCTAACTACAGGCACTGTGAGTTGGGTGCTTTAGGTGAACTAATTTTTTGCTATATAGTCATTACTGATTGAGGGGAAGAGGAGAGAGATCACATGAAAAAAATTGTCCTAATTTTTAAATATTCTGGTAGTGAAAAGTCATCCAACAACCTGTTGAAAAATATGTACTTAACTTATGTGGGTCTATTTTGGTCCTGTAACACTCGATTTCTGAAGGGGGGGGGGGGTGGAAAGGTGCTCCAGCAGGACTAGCCAGAACAATTCCATTGTAAATCAGGCCCAGCATGTTAAATATTAAAAGTAAATACATAAATAGGTAGATTCTATTTTATTTTTAAATTAAGTCTGTATTTTGTAACAATGAAATTTCTTAGTGCAAGTTGAGAGTCTTGAACAGAAATAGCTGAATTAGCTAAAAGCTACTGCAAAAAAGGTTGGATTTGTTTCCAGTCATAAGAAGGCAGATTTAAAAGTGTTGTAATTTTCTGCTTATCTCTTGGTATTCTTAATCAAAATGGTGGAAGATTCAAATAAGAGGAGTCCTGTAAGGCAAAGATGAAGTATCTGAATGGCATTGCATGAACTTGTTAGTAATGTCTTATAATTACTGATTCAGGCAAGTAATTTTCTTAATGAACCTTCTTAGACAGATCAGATATCAGCATTTGGGGAGATTAGCTATTTTACTACAATATTTTGATTTTCTGTTTAGTGAAATGTTTTCACTTTGGATTAATTTATTAAACATATGTTTCACTGCATACAAAATCAGTTGGGAGTTCTTCAGTTGTAATGCCCAAATTGGTGTGAGCTTTTCAGCTGAATTATATGTATCTAATAGGCTTTCAAAATTAAAGCAAAAACAAGGGCAACAATAAAAAAAAAATGCAAAAAAAGAGTTTCTTTTCTTCCATGCTGATTAGTCTTGAATGTGTAAGGCATCACTATGGTGGTGCCCCCCCACCTTTGGATCTTTGCAAGTGAAAATACCACATGAAATATTGATCTGTAGTGCTCAGGTTGGTACATTTCACTTAAAGATTCTAGTATAAATCCGAAGAAGCAACTACAAATAGAGTTAAAGCTTCTCTTAATTCCTTATGTTAGTTCTCTGGCTAGTGGGACTGAATGGTGTTCATCTGGAAGACATTTTACAGATATTCTGCATAATGGGGACTCATTTGTCTGAAGGCAAGATCATTAAATGTTGCTTAAATAAGTGTGAGATGCAAAATGCTGTCATTTTATTAAAATTATTTGCTGGTGGGAAAAGATAAAGGTGAAGAGAGAACTTAAAATGCTCATCACCTTGAAGCTCTCATCTCTGTTACCAGATAGTATCAAATACATATTTTGACAGCTCTCATGCAAAATGCTGAACACAAACACTTTTGAAACTATGGGATGTGAATTCATTTACCTAAAAACAGAAAACAGGGATTTGCCCTGTAATATATAGCCTCAATATTTAGTTAGTAACATTTTTGTGATTATAGATTATTTGGAATAGATCATTACAATGAATCAGTGGCATCCTAAACTGTTTGTAGATTACACATAGTCAGAAAATTGTATCCAATATTTTGTATACAGTACTATTCAATGAAACAAACATCATGTTTTATTTTGCTTTTTTTTTTTCAGATTTACAATGCATTGGTTGAAACAGGTGAACTGGACAATACATACATAATATACACAGCAGACCATGGCTATCATATTGGCCAGTTTGGGCTGGTGAAAGGAAAGTCCATGCCATATGAGTTTGATATCAGAGTTCCTTTCTATGTCCGAGGGCCAAATGTGGAAGCTGGGTCCTTGTAAGTTCTTTGCTTGTGTGTCTCTATGTGCATGTCTTAACCAGAAAAATCCTTGATGTTCACATCTCTGGTCATATTGACCTGGCATCCAACTGGAGGCATCTGTCCTTTAAATGCCTCCGGGGATGGTGACTCAGCCACTTCCCTTGGTAGCCTGTTCCAGTGCTTCACAACCCCTTCAGTGAAGAAATATCTCCTAGTATCAAACCTAAACCTCCCCTGGTACAACTTGAGGCCATTTCCTCTTGTCCTATCACTTGTTGTTTGGGAGATGAGACCAACCCCCACCTGGCTACAACATCCTTTGTGGATGTAGCTGAAAAAGCCACTGGGAAATAAATAGGTCCATTCTAGGAAACATTTACTTGTTTCATATTGAGGGATGCAAATAATGCATGTATCTATGGTATTTTCAAGGTAAAAAATGTATGATATAATGTTCACTTGCTACGGTGGTAATTGTTGTTGGGCATTAATTAAAACACTTAGGGAAGCCACTTGTTTCAACTTAGGAAGAAGAATGTGCATAATAGCTTATCCACAATTATCATCCACAGATCTTCTGTGGTTCATCCTTTGAGATTACATGGTTAGAGTTGTTTGTCAGATGCATGCGAGCATGCAGAATATTGCTGTTAATTAAAATGGTAGCTTTGATCAGCTAAGAAATTACGTAAATACACTTTCTAAGCAATTATTTCAATAGCAAATATTTGCACTTAAGTAATGGTTTTGGACAGAGTGCCATAATTTACTGCCTTTTATTTATATCAATGTGCATGTTTTAGCATAATTAACAAGCACACAGTCTTCTACATGCCATTTTTTTCATTACTGCAGAGGAACAGATCTAGCATGTAATACAGTGGCAAAAAAAAAATTAAAAAATCCATTTGTTGGTTAAATTCACTGATTCATATTATCAGTAGGCACAAAATGTTACATCCTGTAGATACTGCAGTTTGTGCAATTTATTTACAGCAGTTATGCATGTGAAATAAACAATGGAGAATAACAGTTCTGATAGTAGTTAAACTGAATTTTAGGCATGATTTAATTTCTAGCACTGTGTATTCAACTAATGATTTCAGTTGAAGTTGTGAGGAACTGAAATCCACCTGCCCCACTTCTCTCCCCCACCCCCCCCGAAGTTAGCTCTAAACTTTGAAGCACACAACTTTCTATCAGAAGGATAGGAGTGAATAACATCACTGGGGTAAGAATAGGGAGTGTATTATGTAGGGAAATAGCAGGCTGATCTAATGGGAGGTGACATAAAGGAGAAAGTGAAGCCAAGAGTTTGAGAGGAGGAGTGCAAATAGAATTTAGAATGAAGTAGATCGGGAAAAAGAAAAGACGTGGCAGGGGAGCAGGAGTATTCTGAAAGTGGAACATCTGGGGAGCCAGTGAGTACACCAGAGACTGTGACTGACACCTGTGCTAAGCAGAAGATCCAATACTCTGCTGAAAAATGTTGCTAAAATTCTATAATTTGGAGATGAAATGTAGGTGCGGTGAGTCTATTGAAATCCTAGGTATACTTGGATCACTTCCTGTAAAGTTAAAAGTGATAAAGGATAAGAAGTATTTCACTGTCAAAGCTTGCCTTTTGGTTTACATGGTGTCAGGACTGCCTACACAATGGACTGGAGTGCAGGGAAGGAATTCCTTAGGTGGAATTAAAAATATTAATCCAGCACTGAAAGAAGTTTATCTGCAGCAGCAGAGACTTTCCAGTGAGCTGGATTAACATCCTATGGACTTGCTCTACTTCCCATGAGCTGCTGTTTTGGTCTCCATAGAGAGGCAAAGCTAATATGGCCAAAGTGGGGTAAGCTAGCTTTTCTGCAATGTGCCATGCTAGAGGCCAGCCAGCTCCAATCTAGTTCAAGGATCTTCACACCTAGACATTCATAAAACCTTTGAAATCTTCCTATTGAACTCTTTTTTTTTTTTTTTGAGGGGTCTCTAAAGATAAAATATAGATGCATATTTCTGTTAGAATCTGAGGAGTCAGCCTAACAGGCTGGCAGAACAGAGCCCATCACAGTTCAGTGTGGAAGTTAGGAAGAACGGGATAAAATAGCTTGAAGGGGATATATCAGCTAATAAATTGATCCTTCCTTTCAGACTGATTTTCTTTAAATGTTAAAACCTCAATCATCCATGTTTTCTGTGGACCTTATGTTTTCCCTGCAGAGTAATTGCCATGACTCCCTTTTGATACCAACGAAGATTTAATAGCAGTCACTGTAGCAAGTCATTACTAAGCTCTCATTTCTATTACCAAATATGCTACACCACAATTATTAGTAATTAAAATCAAATTAGGTACATCAATTTAATTCATCATCCATGCTCTTGTCAGTGCCTGTTTGCTTGCTTGCTCAAAAATGCAGTAATTTTTAAATGGTGTCTCATTAACTAGTGTGAATTTAGCAGCTTTTTTCTGTCCTGGATTTTGAGTTAAAGTTCTGCATTGACACACATGTAAAGCAGCCCATCTGGTCCCAATCATTCTTTTGTGCCTGCAAATCATGGCATGGTTGTCTTTATGTTTAGTGCTGTAGAAGATCGTCTCTGTAGCAGTATGCTCACTTTTTTTCCCAGTTTTTTAAAATTGACTGACTGCCTTTATATTTGTTTTTTAAAAAATAATACACAGCTAATAAACTATATATATATATATATATGTAATGTTGTGAATAATAAGACATCACCTCAATAGATGTATTTGAAATAAGCTTTACAGAAGCAACATAAACTTAGAGCACTTCTCAACTAGACCTAGAGTAAAAGAAGTCACCTGGCAGAAAGTGGGGCATTCTTCCAGCCACTGAATGCTGGATTGTGCAACGAGATGCTCTGAGCCATGAGCCCACTCATATTCAGCCATGGCAGTTCAAGGCATTTGGGGGTGGGAACTGTCTACTTCTTCAGAGATTATGCCAATGTTTGAATTGAATTTTAAGCCAGTTTATGTTCAAATAAGTTAACTGTGTTAACTGTGATAGCTGAGAAGCACATGCCACTGCTTAAAGAAACAGGGCATGGCAAACACTCTGAACTTTGACAATCAGACCTGTTTCGAAGTGGTTGCAGAACGGATAGTTGTGAATTTGGGAAGACTGATATTATTTAATTTAAAGATTTTTTTTAATTATTATTTTATTTTTCTCTATAAGTGCTTCCTCTTTGCTTTTTCTTTCCCATTTTCTGTCTCCCATTCTACGTTAACAGCAGCTTCCAGTTCTTTCAGTTCTCTGCAGTAGTATCTTGCAATATATTTCTCCTCATGTTCTGATCCGAACATGCTTTATGTGATATGAGATACAGTACTTATTTCTATGTTATTTTTTGATATAGATGATGCATGTGCTGCCTGCCAAATTTACCTTTTAATCAAGTCATCAACATATTTGGCAGACACTTTGCTGTGAGACACCAAAGGAGTTTTTCCAATGCTTTCTTATGTTTCAAAAGAGTTTTTAACCTCTTTTGCAATGATTAACTATTTTTTTTGCTTTGTGAACTACTTTGCATTCTCAAAAATACTTTGTAGTAAAGTTTTATATCTTCATACTAGTTCCTCTTGAGATTATGCAACTTAGCTATATTTAACATTCTAATCCTTTCACAGAACTTCATGGTACTGGATTTGTGTCATCTTTTCTTTGCTTGTGTCACAAAATAAGATTTTTCAGATCTGTGATCTCTGTGGATGAGCTGTAGTTGCTTTAGTTGCTTGGTGTCATTGCAGAGCCTTCAAACCAGGTTCTTGTATATGTTTTTCCAGGAATCCTCACATTGTGTTGAACATCGATCTCGCACCTACAATTCTAGATATTGCTGGATTGGATATTCCGTCTGATATGGATGGTAAATCCATTCTAAAACTTCTGGATTCTGAGAGACCAGTGAATAGGTAAGAAAAGGAAATAGTCATGAAAAAACGCATGCTTGCAAAGGAAATTGGATTAAGTATTCATCAGTGTGCAGCAAACTTAAAATTAATAAAACTATAATCTGAAAATCTAAAGACATATTTGACAACATGTGGATGACTCTTTTCATTTTGTAAGGTTCATATATTAGGTATTTGGCATGTATGGCATATGCATATACTAAAAGTAGCATGTGTAGTGGTGGGTGGGCCACACATGATGAGGGTCTTTAGCTATCTGAGTTACAGATTTTAAATGTCTCTGTGGCATCATTTGTAGCAAAGCATTTCGTATTGAATAAATTGTAGAATAATTGAGTTGAAAGGGTTGGTTGTGTATCAGGCTATAATATAAAGATACTAGCTTTCAGAATTGCAAAGTTATTATTTATCATCAATACTTTCATTGGAAAAAGATGGGGAAGAGAATTAGACTGGATGCTTGCTAGAGAAAATCAGCAGCTAGTATAAAAGAAAAAGGGAAAAAGGAGATTTGCTTTATAAGTAGTTGTGTAGAGAGAGGGGGGAAGGAGCAGCAGCTTTAGAATAGGACAGTTTGGGGGTGGTGTGCAGGTTAAGAGTACAAACTGGATTCAGGAAATCCTGATTTAATTTGTGATCCTTCGTGATCAAGGACAATTCAGTTAATCCTCTGTGCCTTAAAAGTGCTTATGTTGAAATAGTTGTACTGTGTGAATCTGTTGTGGATTTTGTCCCTGTGAGAACAAATCTGTCCTATGTTTGTTCATGATTTGCACTGGAGAGGCTTATGTGCCTGCTTCATAAAGCTGGATGTCCCCTTGAGAGGTTATTGTCATGGTTCTCATCTGAATTAGGAGTAGGAGAGGAAACCGGGGCATTATTTGATGACTGTTTTTTTTGGAAATTGTTTCTTTCTCTCCTCATCTCCTCCCAGGTTCCATTTAAAGAAAAAGATGAAAGTGTGGAGAGACTCATTCCTAGTGGAGAGAGGGTAAGCAAAGTGTTAATCACAAAGCTCAGTCTTTTTAAATAGAAGAATACTGAATAGCTAGAGCCAAAGCAGCACTCTGCCACAGACCTAAAGCCATTTAGCTGTGCCAGCAGGGACACGGCTGCAGTATGCCTAATGGCAGTGATTGTGTGATAGGAGGGAACGTATGGCCTCTGCCTACAGCCTACCTAAATGTGCTGTTGGGGTGGGGGAAGGGGAGTTTTACTTGCATTGGGAGATGGAAAGGCATCCCATTTCCTTTTAAGTGCTACCCCCACCCTTCTACTTATATCATGAGAGTAGGAATAACCTTTCCTCTCTACGTGATCATCTGCTGGCCATTCCCTCTGTGCCTCTCTGCCTTCATACCTAACGCTGGGCATGAAGGTTTGGCAAAGTGCAGCCCTGTGTAGTGAGGATGTGGTCTCTTAATGAACGCTGTTGTTACTGCCTGCCAATCAGATGTGCAATACATTGCCCAGGTTTTGTATGCTCCCTGAGCATGATATGAATAACTTCTGTATTGTCAGAGATGATGAGAAGGGCTAGTTTCTGCTGGGCTATTAAGATCTCACCACCAGCAATGCTGGAATCCTGGCAGATAGCATACATCTCCGTGCCTTATCAGCATACAGTATGTTTATCGTAGAATCTATGCAAAAATAAATGCGTGTTTTTTCTTTTTGTTTGTTTTGTTTTTTCCACTCCAGTAAACTACTGCATAAGAGAGAGAATGAGAAGGTAGATGCCCAGGAAGAAAACTTTCTGCCTAAATACCAGCGTGTGAAAGACCTCTGTCAGAGAGCTGAGTATCAAACAGCTTGTGAACAGCTTGGCCAGGTAGGGCAGACTGAAAGGAAGGAGTTGTAGATGAGCTAAGCTTAACACCTTAACTATGACATTGTCATTCTCCTTGTTGTCAGTGCCAGCTTATAAATCAAATGGCTCATTTTGTGGCCTCTGCTCAAAACCATATTACAGCATTTATGAGATTGACTGTCAGTCAGGAAATTGCTGATTCAAATGTCTCTGCATTGATTCCTGCCTACTGTTAAGAGAACTGCCTAGGTTGTTTTAATATTATATTCCCTGAATTGAATGTGTGTGGGATTCTTCAGTGATTAAAAGTAACAATGAACCTAACAAATTGGCCTCTTCCACATGCATATAGCTCCCTTTTCTTTGAATTTTTAATTTAATTCATTTTATTATTTGGAATTATGTGTAATAACAGAAAATTAGTGTCTTGTGAATTCAGTATATCCCTCCTGTTAACAAAAATACACTGTGAAAGCAAACAAGCATTAAAAGAAATTCAGGAAATAAAGAATTGTAGTATCAGTGCATGATCTTGGCCTAGGAGAAGGTTTTGCAATATTACCAGAGCAGTGCAAAGGCATAGCAAAGCTGTGTCCAGTGACTCCACTTCTGTGCAGATATTTCCCCTCTTGGGGTAATTACCATCCTCTGGAAACACAGGAAAATTGGCTCTGTGCCCTTGCTTTCTCATCCAGGTACCAGTTAGAATAACCCCTCCCACAGACCGTAACACGTTCTGCCTGTGGACAAAGGGACGAAGGTAGATGGGTCCATGTGCTAATGTATCTGTTATTAGGTGGGCATTACCTCATATCCTGGAAGCTCAGAGGGCTGGCAGAGTAAGTCAGTCTGGGAAATATTTATGTTCCTGTAGAAATGAGCTGAATGTCTCACCAAGACTATTGTCAGTAATGAGCCATTTAGGCTCCAGTAGTTCAGTTTTTACTGTTGGAGGGCCAGCTTCCTTCTGGTTCCACAGATCATGTAGTTCAGTGCATCTGTGAAGTGAGTCCACCGCTCTTTAGGTGCTTGGATTCAGTGTATATGCACAAGCATTTTCCAGATGCTCTTTTCCTCCTGTGGCTTCTTTGTCAGATTCAGCAGACAAGGAGATTGTAGTTTCCCTCTTCTTGCTAGAAGTCCTGAACTTAAAAAAGTACTTCTGTGCTGTAGTTTGTCACCAGATGTCTTGAGCTGATATTTTAGATGGGTGAGAGCAAGCAATTGTTTTTTGAAAGTTCAGTATTCTTTGAGAAACTGAGGGAAGAGTTTTCATTTCTGCTAGAAGATCATCCAGTACGTTGTTTGGGGGAAATACAGCTTTTCTTTTTCCATCAGTATTGTCTCTTTGAGGGATGTTTCAATTTCCTTTTGTCTTCATCTCCCCAATTATTTTGAACATTATTGTAAGAACAGAGGTGAAGAGAGACTTTCCAAGTCCATGTTGTCACTGAAGCTGTCTCTTTGCATAAGATAGCTTAGCTGCATTCAGGCTTTCTTACACTAATTACCATGTCTTAGTTACGAAAGAAAGAGGGAAGGCCCTGTATTGTCTACGTATATTCACAGCATTTTTTTCTTCCATGGATAATAAAATATCTTTGGCGTCTGTAGGAAGTGGGGATAAAATGTCAACTCTGTAGTCAGAATTGCCAATAAATTCCAAAGTGAAGGTGTGCTAATAAGAGGTGTGTGTGCTGCATCCTCGTAGTCAGGAGACAGCAGAATTATTGTTTTGAGCAGTTCAGCCAGACGTAATTGGAAGTGATAGGATGAAATTGAGCAAAAAATAAATTCAAGTTGGACATCAGGAAAAATTGCCTAACAATCAAGTCAATTAGAGTCTGGGAAGGGCTCTCAAGGGAGTCTCAATCCATCTAACCCCTGCTCTAGAGAATATGTCCTAGTACTCTGTCTAGACAGCAGGAATAGTTGGAGATGAATGTACTTATTTGAGGGTAAACTGTCCCTAAACGTGGGTGCCCCCAAAAGTCTTTTCAGAGTGAAGCAAGACTAACTTTCCAAATGACAAATGGTTGTTGTCTGTTTGCTGTTGCTATTCACAGCTCTGCATAGTAAGTAGAAAGAGCCCAAATGAATAACATACTGCTGTCAGTTGAATTTATGATATCCAGATACAGTGGTTATATTACAGACATCTCCTCATCCTGCAGGATACTTATTAGTATGCGTTTAACAGTATCCAGAGTGTTAGTACAAAAAGGGAATTTTTACATCCAGATCTAAAGAGAAGTCTGGGTCAGAATTCAGGTGAAAGCTTGCAGAAGTCATTGGGATTTTTCATCTTGACTCAAAGAAGTTTTGGGGACCTGCTAGTCCATGCACAGTGCCAGGGAATCTGAAGTGTGAATAGGAGAAGAAACACAAACAGAGGACAAAGACTCAGGAGAGGAATGAGTAGTAAGGAACAAGGGCAGAGTTACGAGTAAGGGAAAAGTAAGGAAAGCTTTGAATGTGATATGAAGAGTTTGAAATTCCCTGTGCAAATTTGTGAATACCAGTTCTATCACTACAAAATGCTCTTCCTTTGCAAATCTCAGTCACCCTTCTTGACCTATAATCATTTTGATAAGAGAGCACCAGGATCATGGAGATGAGGCTATTCATGCTGTTTAAAACCTCGTTTCAGAGTCCATTATATGGGATTTTTTTTGCAAGACAAATATATGTAAATTCTCCTGAGTGCAAGGGGAATCTGTGTGTTGCCATGTTCTCTTTCTCAATTTGTGGAGTTTGGGCTGTATTAGTTATTTGCATCCAACAAAGGATGAGTGTAGACTCAGGTGAAAGAGCAGCTCAGGATTTATATTCAGGGATATAAGAGAGATGAGTTCTTTCTTCCCACGTGAAATAAAAAACATTTCTCCCAGTACCTAATAGCTCCCTCACAAAATCTTTCTCTTCGGCGGTGTTTGGCTTTTCATTCTAAACTGGCTGGTAAGTGGAAGCTGACCCACTTTTATCTGTAGGCCTGCATTAATGTGATTTTGTAGAAGCCAATTATGATACTAGCATTGCTCTATAGAGTATTCCCAGCAACTCCTAGAGTATTCTCCAACAACAGCTGCACAAAATCTCCCTCTAAATCATCTGCCAACTTTATGCACATTTGCTAAACACGAAATACCTGCAACACTGCTGACTGCTACAGGGAATCTGTGCTGTACATATAAAAGAATATGAAGTTTTTCTTCAGCAGGACATGGTATAGTACAATAATAACTGATAATTTAGTAAGAAAAGTAGCTGTCTGAATTTACATTATTTCCTTTTCAAATCCTTTCTTTTCCCCAAAACTCTATTTGTATCTAATACAAACAGAATTTTCTTATGTGACAGTTTTATTCAGGAGAAAATTCAAATTATGCAGATTTGCACTTGGTTTCCTGCAGATATTCTGCAAATGAAAGGTCTCATATACAGCCTTCCTTCTGACTGCTTCATTCTCTACCAGGATCAAGAAGGGATATTCTCTTTTGTAAGCGACATGAAGATATCATAAAAAAAAGGTTCCACTGACTCCATTGTTCCCCTCAGTTCTCCAACATAGCATGGCATAGCAGCAATGAAAACTGTTACGATCAATATGTGCTTTCCTACAGCAGTTCATAAAGTGGTATCACCGTTATCATCATTAGCCGCTGTCTAGTGCCAAGGGTGGAGCAGTAGGAAAAAATAGCTTACATTTTCTCCATTTGCTGAAGACTCTGTAGCTTGAACTTACATTAATCAAATCTTGGAAACTAAGTCACATTTTATAAAGAATTTCTTCTAAAACTGGGAAGAAAATTTGTGGTATCTCTTGTGGTTCTCTAGTTCTTTTGTAGCTAGCAGGGATATCCTGAGGTTACTAAAGAACCTAGGTTCTCTTGGTAACAGTGAAGCATATCAAGCCAGCTAGATTCCAGATAACTTTTATAGCTCATTAGGGGATCTTTAGAGTTCCTGAATTCCACTGTGAGTTGCACGTGCTCAGCAACTTTCAGGATCTGGTTCTTAATCTGTGATTACAACAAGAAATGGCTTGTTGATAACTTCATACATTAAAAATTTTATCAGCCCACTGACTGATAACATTTAGGAGGCAACAAACCATGAAAATTAAAATCACGATGATTTATTAAGGGCTGTTATTCAAGGATTGTATTCCTTATCAAGAATTAGAATTAACAAAACTGTTTTCCTCCTTTAGGAAAGAAATAGCCAGAAATAGCCTGTAATGATTTCCAGAGGCTATTTTACTTAAAGGTTCCTTTTCTTGTTTTTGTCGAAGAGATCCAAGTGATCTCTTGTTAACAAAGACGTTTAAACTCCCTGTCATTACAGGAGTGGATGATACAAGAAGCTTGCCAAAATAAATGCTAACATTTAATAAAATAAAAAATAAAAAATAATGTTCTAATATGCAGTACGTGTGTAGCAAAGTAGTTTGGTTCAAAAGACAATAAGCTGGAGGCTGGGTATCTGGCTTCATTTAGTTAGGGACTCAGTGTGGGACCTCAGACAAATCCAGTTCCTACTTGGTGGTTCTATTGTGTTGTTTTTTTCCTCCACCACTAATCTAATTGCTGCTTAGGCTGCACACCCTCCTTAGCTTCCTCAATACCTAACACAGCAGCTGGGACCATTTGATACCACAGTCGAATTATTAGAGTAACAATAAGTGAATTCTATAACTGTAACATTAAGTTTAGCTGAATACCTCATTTTTCATTTGCATGCTAGCTGATTGTCCCACCTGCCTCACTGCAGCTATAGCTTGTAGCATTAAAATATCCTGCTTTTCTGTTGATAATCTTGTGATTTTAAGGTTTGAGTGATAAATAGCATTTGACAACTGAAATTGAGCTGAGAGCCCAGAGGTCCAAATCTCCAAAAATCATGAGCCAGTGTAATGAAATAATGGCCAGTTGCAACAAAGACCAGACAGTACTGTTTATATACTGATACAATGGAGTAGAGAAAACTAAACTCATCCTTTGCCAATGGATACATTGGAAGAAGATAAAATGGGAAAAATAAATTGATAAAAGATTAAGAAAATAATACCTGTGGAGACGAGCTAAGGAACTGGGCATATTCAGAAAAATAGCAGAGGAGGGAGGCATCTGTCGGCATGGATCTAAGAGATACTATACAAGAGGCACAAGCTAATTATCTCAGTCGACAAGAACAGAGGAATAGTAATGTGTATGAGAAAAACAATTGGAAATTCAGGTCAGACTGTTTCCTGAAACTTGTAACACCTGAGCTATAGGACAAGCTGCACAAAAGCAGCAGAATTGCCTCTGGTAGAGAAGGGGCTTGCATCTACGGAATTTGCTGTATTGTTTGGATTAGCTCAGTAAAAAATAACACAAGGAGCAAAGCACAGCAAAGAAAAAGAGCCGACTAAACTAAACTGTACTGTTTCATACAAGAAAAAATGTATCCTAACGACTCATAGATCAATTTAGACTGGAAATTAGTCTATTTCCAGCCATTATAGCAGTTTATTTCTAGCTCCCCATCCAATGGGGCAGCAAGGATGGGGTTCAGAAATATGTATGTAAACTGAAAATGGATGTTGCTGAAGTGTTTCTATGGGATTGATGGCAGTGAGAAAGGATTTTATTAGCCTGCAAAAATCTTGAATTCTGGAGTCTATATTCCTAAAACTGTTAGGGAGGGAGCGGTGCTGGCAGCTAACTGATCAGGCAGTTTCACTTTTCACTTCTCTGTAAAAGGGAATGGAATCCCTTCCTCTTAACAAAAAGAGGAGCTGATGAGACACAGCATGATGATTTAGGGCTCAGCTGTGAAAGCTGTATGTTTCTACTGGAAACTTTTCTTAGCAAGATTTGTGTGATCAGCCCTTTTCTCCCAAAGAAAACAATGTAAATTTAGAGAGATTCACTACGGGAAATGAGTGAATTGTATGAAAATTCTAACAAGGAAGGTCATGGCTATTTATTTCTGATTGGAACCTCAAGTAATGACTTTGAATTAACATCTGTGATTGCTCTACTGGTAAGGAGACAGTGATGCACAGTAACGCAAAAAACACTTGATGGTGATGGGGGCTGTGAAGGAAATAATGGAAGGAAATATGTCTTTTTCCACTAATGGATCATTTGCATGTTCAAGGTGAATAGTGTTAGCAGAGGGAAACAGTATCTGGTCAGTCTGCAACTGCTGCTGTTAGATTCATGTTTCATAGTTGCTGAAGTCGTCATTTGCTCTTGTTGATACGTACAGCAGACAGTTTGGGTTGAAGGAGGGCAAATATGTGTTACAGACTGTCTTCTCTTTGCCTTTGCAGTGTACCTTTGTACAAGTTTTCTATTCAGTAATACTCATTTCTCCACTAACTATAGCTCAGGCTCTTCTGATTTGCACACAAGTAACAGTGAGTAGCACATGTTGTGCAGTGGGAAGTAGGGTAGGAGATGGGGTAGAAATGTTAGAACAAGCCCAACACAGTAGGTGGCAGAAAGCACAAGCACAGCAGCTCACTTGGCCTGCCTGAAGGTGGTGGGAAATCTCCAGCTGGAACAGGTTTAATGATTAAATGAGGTGTCTGGAAAGTTTTGCACAATGTGAGCCTGATGAACTTCAGGACATACTGCAAAAGTCATTTATCTGATGGCTGGAGTAGCTGTTCTGCAAGGCACTACAGGAGGAAAGACCGGTTATCCCTTCGGGGTTTTGATATGAGCTGGAATAAAGACTGGGGGGGGCGGAGCTTGGATTTTCCAGTGAGTTTTAGTTTACGTTAAACCACATGTTCCCTTTGAGGATATAGCTCTTGTGAGATAATACACGCTATAGAACCTGAAAAGTTGGAGGCAAATGGTGAACTAAGGGCACTTTGTTTACTTGACTGGTTGTGTTAATCCACTATTTATATGTAATTACATTTTGCTGCTGGATGGTTATCATTTGTACCTGTGAGCCAAAGTATCTCTGGGGCACCCTAGAGTTCTTCATACAGGAATTTAATTATTTAAGTGATTACCTCTTATAAAATACTTTATTTGCTTCCAGGGGTTGACACAGGTTTCTGCAAGAGTTTGTGCTGCACACTAGAAACCAATTTGAAATGCCAGAATTCCCAATATTTAAAGCTTCTTGACTGTTGAGCAGAGGTTTTTGCAGTTCTTGCAACTACAGCTCTTTTCCCTAAGATTGAAAGCATCCTGTGGAAATTAATGCAGTTGATATAGCTGTGATATTGCCTAGAGAATTTGTGTTTGTATTTAAAAGCAGAGCAGGCAAAATTGTAGGCTCCCAGACACGTTCACACACATGCCTGTATCTGTTCTGTGAAAAAAAAAATAGAGCTTGAGACGTTGGGCTTTTTTGCCAGCTGGGTTCAGTGTTTGTTTCTAACATCATTTATATAGCTCTGCTCTGCAGTTGTTCAGCAGTGGGCCTGCCAATGCATACAACAGCCCTTGAGATATAACCACTGGATATATCCATCCAGCATACAGCTGCCTTGGAAAAATTTAAATGGCACCAAGAATTAAAGGAATTCTTCCAGTTCACCTGGAGGGGGAAAATAAGCATCACTTTCTTGACAGGAGATGAAAGAAATAGAGTTTAAATATTTTTGGGCCACACATCACAGCACTTACTTATAGTAGTTCTCATACTGGCATTCAACTTTCCCTCTGTTGAATTTTCATTTTTCATGTATCAGACACCTACAGCATAGAGTTCTTCTGAGTAAAAAATACAGTTTGTGCTTATACGTTCAAAACTAAGATTGAGATATCTGTAATGGGAAGCTGCAACAAACATTTTTACATCTCATTCTACATTTTTTTTGTGAAACTGTTGCTTGTTCTAGTAAAATAACTTCCAACTCCAGTCTGTGTATCAATGAATGCTAGGCATTTATAAAAAATAGTAATAGAAAAAACAGCAATTTATTTTTCAAAGACTTTTTTGTTCTACTCTGCACCTAGGTAAATGCATCCTGCAGCCATGCAAAGATGCCTGATTCAAATGTCTGCTTGTCAGTGTCACTGATTTCCTATGATTCCCTGTGCTGAAACTTCAGACAGGTTTATGTGCATCAGTGCAAGGCTTGGATCATATAGGATTTTTGGACAGGATACATACAGCTAAGAAGTAATTATAGCTCAGGAGACCCGGCATACAACTGTCAAAGGAAATAAGTGGCCATACCATAAACTTCTGAACGTTTTAAATAAGCAGACCTCCTGTGGATATAGATAAATCCACTGTAACTGAGTGTCTCGCTTCTGACTCTATAATGAAAGCACTATGTATTCTCTATATTCTCTATAATGAAAGCACTGAAGATAGTGTTTTCTTTCTTAGCTGTCATGCAAATGATAGGGCGAATTTCAATGGAAAATGAGTGCTTTGTTGCCCAAGCCTGGGCACACCTCTGTATGGAAATTGAAGTGACTGAAGCTCCTTGTAGAGCTGCAGGGTGCTGTAAAATGTCATCTCGCTTGGGAACTGTTGCTCTTTTTCTTTCTGTTCTTTTATTTGGAAAATTACCAATATTCCAGTGAGTCCTGGAGGCACAGAGTTAGGGTTTTGTAACAGGGAAAAGGAGAAATCCTTCTCAAGGCTCAGCAAAAAGCTCTAGGTTTTTCCAGACTAACACAGTAACAACTGATGCATTTTTGTTTGTTTGTTTGTTTGTTTTTGGTTTTTTGTTTGTTTGTTTGTTTTTTGTTGTTCTGTTTTGTTTTGTTTTGTTGTTTGTTTGTTGATGTTGTTTTTTTTTTACTGTGTCCCAAAGCCTAGTTCTTTAGCTAGTAATGTGTTGGTGAATAAAGGAGTAGGTAAAATTAGTTTGTGCTGCATCTGAGAAGCAGGTAAAACTTCTCTGCCAGATTGAAGGTGGCTAAACTTCCTTACCCTTGGCACGGCTCTGACAGCAGTGCAAAGGGATCTATATCCAAGTTTTTGAGTACCAGAAGTAATCAGATTAAATTAAAGATGAGATTTCCTCCTGGTTGAGTGGAAGATGGAGGCAATTATCACTGTGCAGGCATCCAGTGAAGCTCACCATTACCAACCAAGCCCAAGGGTGTTGAATGGGAAAAGCTATTATGAAGAGAAACATTTCAAGATGGAAATAAACTTGTCTAACCACAGACATCCATAACTGATCTAGTTATACACACCCTGTTAGAATCAGTAAAGAGAAACAGGCTCTTCGGCAGGGCAGTCCTCTATTCTTCTCCTCTCTTTTATATGGCCATCTTAGGATACAGTGAGTAATACCCTGGAAGTGCATGTTCCTCTTCTTTGACTGCAGACAGAGCCCAGATAACCAGTTCACACCTGGATCTTTACAGTAAAGGAGTCCACTACTTGGATAAATTTATTCCACCATCAGGCATTTGAACTAGGAAAGAGAAGAAGACTTCTCAGTAAAGTTACTTCCTTTCTTGTAGAGTATGGGATGGGGCTGAATTGAACACAGGCCAGGAGCTTGGTGCTGTTTTAATGACTTGTTATTGGCAGAGATTCCTGCCAGCCTGGCAAACTCACTTGCAGGTGGGTAAGGATTCTTCAAACCTGTGGTAGGACTTGAACCTCCTTGTTAGAGAAGTGTAATTGGGAAATAAACCTTTTTGCTTGACGCCTCTGTATTTTTAGCTGTAGTATTGATTTTGTTAACAAATTCCTATTGTTCTACCTCCAAGAAATGAAATCAGAAACAAATATAAGTGTTCCAAAATGTTCCTGGGTTGTCTAAAAATGGAAGATCACAAGAAATGTATTTTGCTGGTAGACAGTGAACCCCAGCTTACTGTAATGAGGAGTCCCTGATAGATCACTGAAGCTGGCCATTAGACAATGCAGAGTTGAGACGAGTTTTAATGACCAAATCTTTCTTCCAGAAATGGCAGTGTGTAGAAGATGCCAGTGGGAAGCTCAAGCTACACAAGTGCAAGGGAATGGTGAACTTGGCAGGTGCAGGCAACAGCAAAGGCACTTCCAATCTTTTGCCCAAGTATTACAACAGGAATAGTGAAGGCTGCAATTGTGAAGAGAATGAATACAAGCTGAGCCATGTCGGACGGAGAAAGAAGCTCTTCTCCAAGAAGAGTAAGTGAACCCACTACATCTTGTGTCTCTGCCTTACAAAATGGTAACTGTTCAAACACCCATAACCATTCTGATTTTCTTGGACATTGAGTTCTATAGATGTCATTGAAGGCAAGCATATTTGCTTGTATCTGCACATGAAGCAGTTTATTGCATACTGGACAATCAGGTATGAAAATGTCTCAGTGTGTAGGAAGAGGAGTGTTTTGATCCAAAATAGAGGCCTGTGTTTATTTCTTTCAAAAACAGGAAATTCAGTACACACACTGAAGCAGCAAGTAGCTTAACCTTGCAAAGGCCTTGAAACATGAACAGTGTGTTATAGGGAGTACTCTAATTTTGAGATACTGCAGTGCTTGGGGCTGTTACTGCAGTAATTTATTTTTAATAAGGATGTGTGTGCTGCTACAGAAGCTGCTCGCTTCTAACATCCTTTTCTTGTGCTCAGTCAGCAGAGCCAGGGCTGACTTTTAACCAGAGATCACATCCAAAGGGGATGACTCTGATTCTGGTTTCCTTGGCACAGATCAGGTGCTTTTTCAGAAGGCCCATTCCGCTGGCTCTGTTTTAAACCTGAGTCAGACTAACATCTATATTTGAAGTACATAGTCTAATTATAGATTAAAGAGGCAAATAGCAGCACGGAATTACTGTTCACTTGTAATGTTTCTTTCGTCTCACTCCACAAATACAGGGCCTTAATTATTTAGCAGATTAGTCTTTCTGTATAATGACCTGGCACAAGCTTCAAACAGAGAGTTTAAATTGATTTTCTTCCATTATATTTGCCTTGCAAGCTGATTAGTACCTACTAAGCTAATTTTTAGTTGAAAAAAATGATTGGTTCCAGGATGAAATTACTCAACTATACTCGCTATTTAAACATGTGGCACAGCAGATAATCTTTAAATAACACTAGAACATGCAGTTCAATTATCTTTTTTTTTTCTTTTTCTGAAGTCACAGAGAAGAAAGTTCAGATACAGGGAGTCAAATAACAGGAGTAGATCGAAGGCACTTAGATGGGAAGAGGAAAACAATTTACATGAGGGCAACATAATGCTATCTGATAATACTTAACACTTACTTAAGTACTTTTCATCTGTGTTGTGCTTTCTAAACATTAACTAATTTTCACAACATCTAGAGGAGGTGGTTAAGTGTATAATTACCGTTAGTTTATGTATTAAAGAGGTTGAGGCAAAGAAGCGAAGGTTGTGAAGATACTTTCAGCTGAAGGATTGGGACATCTTTTTCCCTACATTTGTCTCAGAAGAGGTAGAGTTTATGCTGTACTGTTCAGCACACTTCTCATTGAGCCATAAGGCATACACTTCAGCAGCATAAGATAGGATGTTGGCAGTCATGTTCCCATTGCTTTTATATGAAGTAAAACAATTGGCTCTGGATGCTTTATTTTTCCCTCTGCCCACATCCAGTGTGTGGCATACAATGGGAGAGTTAAGCTTGGATCTGTGGACACAGACTCCTGGGTTTGACATTGGCTATTCTTCCACATGCACTTATCTAATAAATCACACACCAAAAATAAATGAGCACAAAGCAATACAAATCAAGATAACATGCGAAGGGTTTTCTGAACAGTTTACTTAGAAAGCTGGTTCACTGGATTGTAAATGATGACCTGGGTACTGCTGATGTGCATGTGGATTTCTATGACCTGTTTCATGAGATGGGATAAAGTGCAGTCTGTGCTGGGTTGTACAGTTCTGAGGGCATCTTTGGGGTCTACTACTTAGAGTTTGAAGAGTCCGTGGGATCAGTGCTACTTGAATGCCTGCAAATGGTATCCGTAAGACTGAACAACAGCTATACAGAAAAAGGAAGTTTCTAACTGGACTATGTCAGTGTCAGGTCCACACTAATGATTTAGTTCATAGCAATGCTGAAGCTTTTGAAAGGAACACCCTGATCACTCCCTCCTATCGTGACCAGTAGAGGTGGATTTGCAGAGCAATTTTGACATACTGCAGTTGTTTGCAGAAAACTAAATTGGATGTCCTGCTTCTGGGGCGCATCAAGAGTGTTGCAAACCCCAATGGTGATAGGAGGATTGGTCTTTCACAAAGATTCAACCCAGCAGTGCATGGTGAATGCATGGTCTAGAAGACCAGACTAAATTGCTGATAGAGGGGCCAAAGCACCAAATGTTTTGATAAAATAATTGCTTTCTAATGTAGGCATGGTCTAGATCCGTTGTCATGTACACCATTACATTTAAGAGGCAAGAATGTTTCCTAAATTGAGTAAATTAATTGCAAAACAGTGTCATGCCATCTGCATGCCTTTTGGGCCCTGAACAAGTAAGTACACAGCTCACCTGCAAAGCTGTTACCTGTTCTGCATTGCAGTGTCCTCTGTTTTCATAAGAACACACATTGGTGTGTTCTTATTTTTATAAGAATGATGAAATAAAGCTCTGCAATGGGAGGGAAATTTAAAGTAATAATGAGCTCTTAAAATCTTCGGTTGTTTGTTGTCTATTATGTTTTTCTTGCTGTGGATTTCATCTCTTCCTCCTGTGACAAACAAGTGCATATGATTAAAGGAGTTATTAAGCTGCATGTAGAGAAATGATGATAGGCCACACAGATTTGTGTACAGAGTGTGTACAAAGAAGCTAGTACGTTTTTATTCCAATTCTCATGTAATTTGTTTTTCTTTTGAAGTAGTTTCAATACTGTAGCAAAATGGCCTTCTTTGTTATAAAAAAAAAAATACCCAAACATCAAGTACTTTAAAGATAATGCATTTGAAGTATGATTTTTAATGGCAGTTGTGAGAAACTGGGTGTATGGAAATTTTTGGAGGTTGTTTTGTGTTTTTTTTTTTCTCCTCTTTGAAATATCCAAGAAAACAGAATCAAAATAAGATTTCTAGAAATTTCTAGTTACCTAATGATCAAGAAAATCCTCCTCTAATCCTTTATCTGTATTACTAGACGCTTGAGATATTTTCAAAAATTTGACTTCAAAGTGCCTAATTTTACTTTGGTCTTATAGAAAAAGTGCTGCTTCTCTACAGGACTCTGAGAAAATACAGAGACATTACTGGGGAATATAACAAAATTGAGGTGGCTGGTGCTGGTTCCTCATGGCCCACTGTTCATATGCAGAGTTCCTGCATGCTGGTTTATTCCATCATCGTCATGATGCTGGACAATGCATCAGACGCAAAACACCTACCTGGAATAAATGATGACAGGAAGGCCCAGGAGTTCTCTGTCTTCTGCTAATGGCCCTGCTGAGCAGTCACATTCCTGCTTAGAAGAAACGGCTAAGCAGTAGATACAGTTGGTCACGGTCTTCTCAGCTATCCCTGAGATTGTTTTCAAATGATCTCAGTGTTAAATCATGGTTTTGGCAGCAGCAAAATAAGTAATAAAGCTTGAGTGATGAGGACGTGAGGAGAGTTAAATACAAACCTGAAGGCTGGGCATGTTTATGTCAGATACGAAGCTTATGGTTTTATAATACAGCATTACCTCACTTTATTCAGTTGAATAATAATCTCAGATACTGCAGTTCGTGCTTGCTCTAGACGGTGTTGAAACCTGAGATGTCACCAAGTAGTTGTAAAAATGCAAGTATTTGAGTCCCTAGACCATCTGGGGGAACTCTGGACTGTAACAGTGCCTGTCCCTGTCAGGCTAGAGTGAAGCCACGCGTGCCTGTGAAGTGATCCAGGGAGCTGAGGCAGGATGAGTGTGGCATTGAAAACTCGTTAGCTTTCTCATGCTGAAATTTCTCTGGACTCTATATCCAGATTTAATTTAGAGGATGTAATTTCTTAGCAGTGGCGGAGGAGAAGAGGCACAGGGACTCAACTTACCAGGGCCAATCTTTAATAATTCAAAAAAGGAGAATAATTATTTTGGGCAAAATATTTAACAGCCCTAAATCCTGTGTGGGTTGTATATACAGGTATAAGAATTGGAAAGTAAAACTGAAGCCCGAGGGAGGATCAAGTAATTAGACACTGGTATTTGTGCCTACAGATGAATATTGAGCTTACTAAATATTTTAACCACTTCCTCTGAAAATGATGGAGTTTGGTACTACTCACAGCATTGAGTCAGCACTGTGAATAGCATGCTGTAATAATGCAAGGCCTTCATGAGCTGTCTCTCTCCAGACCAATTTGTTCTTTATAAGGCTGGATTAGGACAGGCTGCAAGGGAGGAGCAGCTCCTGGCTTCGAATTCTTCAGGGGCGTGTGGAGACGGCAGTTCCCTGCAGTTGTCTGTTGAGGACCAACATGCTAGCTTGGTATATTGGACTTGGAAGGAAGGTAAATTGTTAGTTGGCTGAGCTTAACAAGATGAAATGAGGGAACAATTAAAGAAATGGGAGTTTACACTTTGAATATAATTGTTAGGGTGTAGCTTTTTGGAACTTCCTCCTACTTTTAAAAAGATGGGAGTTTCCTTCTCATTTATTCAAACATTTCCTGAATGGGTGCCTGAAATACAGTTGGTCTTTTTGTTGCTTTTTTAAAATTTATTTTTTTCTCAGCTGTGACTAACCTGGCTTAATATCAGCTATAAACTTTGAGCCACAGGTGAAAAATGGGCTAAAACAGACAATTCAGCTGGTATCCTGCTTTCTGTGTGTGGCACTGATGTGAATTTAGGGCTTGGACCAGTTTCAGGTGGGAGGGGATGTTTGTTTCTCTTCCCACAGTCTACAAAATGGCCTTTGAGACTTTGTAATCCAGTTAGAATTCATGTAAGCTTCTTGAAAGAAGTCAGTCTGTGTTAATGCCAATGCATGCCAATTGCTGTGAATATTTCTTTTGTCAAATTTGGTTGTTCTACCTCCCATTTCTTTTCTTCACTGCTTGTTTTTGCAGTGGAGTTTATCCCTGAGATAAAGTTGGCTCTTCTGTGGATCTTGAGGTAACGAGAAGTGTTGGTCTTCTCATGTGGCACACTGGATGAGTTTTCCCTTACCAGGTTGCAGCAGGAGGTCCTGTTCTAGTGAAAAGTGCTGTGCTTCAGCTCAGGGTGAAGGAGAGGTGACCAGAGGAACTAAGAGGCTTGCTTGGTTCCAGCAACATCTTGGGTGACTCCAAAGCACATATACACAGCCAGGAGTCTGGAGCTATGGTACTTTGGTCATGCTTTTTTCTCCAGGAGTGAAATAATTCTGCTTAACATGAGTGACTGAGCGGTCACTGCAGTGAGCAGGAAATAGTCAGAGGTGTGAGCCCTACTGTACAGTAGGGAAGTTTAGATATGGATTCATACTCCATAGCTAGGAGATATTCATGTCACTTTAGACAAAACTGAAGAGGAATTGGGATTTGGGTCAGGAGAGAGAACTTTGGAAAGCAGCAATGGCAAATCACTGGGATCTCATACTGTGCAGTGCAGATTCATAGCGAATGTTTCATTCTGTCTTTGGGCTGCAAACACAGAGGCAAACTCTGAGGGCATGCATAGCACTGGAGGGTAGTGCTTTTTGTAGAAACTTTCTGTCTGGCCTGCACATGAGGAAAATAATTGCAAAGAAAATAATTAAATGTGGATAAAAGTAAAGATTCAAATATTAATCCCTCCCATTAAAATCTTGTATTGAAAAAAAAAAAAGAGTATGGAGTTGAGAAGTTCAGGCTGAATACTCGAGTACTCCCTGTTGAAATTCGGGATGACTTCTGAGAAGTGTTGCAGGAATACCGGCACTGGAATGTTTTACAGTAGATGACAGAATGTAGTTGAGAACTAATCCGCAAGGATGACCTGAGACCCTACTGTCTTTAAATTTCAGAATTATTTTTTAAAGTGTTACTGCCATCTAGTGGCTCTTGGGGGAAGAGCTTCTTTTAGAGTTTCTTTGAAAGTTGTTCACTCTGAGTCATGACTGTACAAGTACTTTCTCTTTCCCCTCTGCCATCCTTGTGCATTTGCACTCTATCCCTCTCTCTCAGACTTTAAGGTTCCCAGCAGGTAATGACATGGCAGCACTGCAACAAACAGCAGTTGTCATTGAGTGAATTCCAAATGTCACGTTAGGGGCTGTTGTTTGCCAAGAACCACAGAGAACCAAAGTGTAACCTGCTGTTTCTCCCCGTCTTAATCCTTTTACTCCCTTTTCTGTGCAGAATACAAACCGAGCTATGTCCGGAATCGTTCTATCCGCTCTGTATCTGTTGAGCTGAATGGAGCCATTTATAACTTGGGTTTAGAGGACGGATACCAACCTGTCTTACCAAGAAACATCACCAAGCGACACAAGATGCAGAGGGCTATTCCTCCTGAGGAGGAAGATAAAGACATGGCAGAATACAGTGGCACTGGTGGCATTGCAGAATATACAGCCCCTAATCTAATAAAAGTTACTCACAGGTGAGTAAATACTGTATGTTTCTATAAACTTTTGCTGCTTGAGTGGCTGCTTTACATAAATGGGTGCGTTACCTTTTGATAAGCATATTGTGTCCCTTTTGGCTACCATCTGACTTCACTGAACTTCTTATTCTCATTTGTACACACCTTTCAGTTTTGTTTTAATTTTGTCATCATGCACAAAGGGGCATGAAAGCTACTGAAGAACCACAGAGGTGCTTGTATGTCTTCTACGCTTTGGAGACAGTAATCACCGATAAGTACACATTTCCAGTAAGGACAAGTGAAACTGTTTGCAGTGTTGGTGTGTACACCTATCTGAAACCAGGGAAGACTCTACCCATGTAAATCTCAGCGTGCAGCAGGTAACCTGGCCTGTCTGAAGATCAAAATACTCCATACTCCAACTGGAATATGACCCAGTTTCAACATGCCATTGGTTGCTTTGTATTTCAAATACAAAATCAGTCCCAAAGGAAGCAGCAGCATCACAGAGCTGCTTGTACCCAGTGCTAGGAAAGGAAAATCTATGTTATGGAGGAGGTTAGATAGACCAGGAGTATTGGGGAATGGAACATTGGAGAGAGAGGTGAGGGAATTGTCTGCGTTCTAAAGAGACTGTAATAGTTTAAGGTTTCTCAGTGTGCAGATCCAGGGTCTGGTGATGTATCTTCAACTGTACTTACTTCAGTGTTTTGTCACCCTTTCTACTTGTGAATTATGAGAAAATCCATCAATCACTATGGATTATGTGAATTAAATTGTTTAATGACTAGCTCATGCAAATATGCATGAACCAGATAGCTGCTGTTGAAATCTGTGGTTTCCATTTGACTTCAGTTTACAGGGTTAGAGATTTGCTAATATGAGGAAACAGGAAGGTTGACATCAGCAGAGTTCTGCCCTCCTTCCTCAGCTTTTTTGAATGTTCAGGAGCCATAAATCACTATTTGTTCCTTTTTTCTGGGACATGTTAAATTGATCTGTGCTGCTTTACTGGGTGAATCCCAGCCCCGTACCAGGAACTGTCAGGAAGGTTGTGCGTAATTCATGAGGAGTCCCCAGGAACACCTACAGAAAAGAAGGCAGTGGGATAACATGCGTGAGGCGCTTTAAAGAAAACAGAGGAATAATGAAAAAAAAAACAGGTTTAATTTAATAAATAATCATTCAAAAATAACTCCATGGTATTTATTGACCCCTAATAAACTTGTTGAGCATTTGTCTTTTTTTTTTTTCCTTTTTTTTTTTTTTTAATTTTAAATACTGGACTTCATGAGAAGTTACTGGAACATGAGCACTTAAAGTTGTCAGAGGGTATTTTGCCTTTGAAGTCAGGGAGCTGTATTTGAAAAAGTTTATCCCTTTTGTAGAAAATCATTTTTTTCTTTGTAGTATTCTAATACATCTTATAAAGAAGCTTTCTCCCTGCCTCTACCCCTGTATGTTACTTAATTATGCATAGGGAAATTGCTTCCGAGTAGTGCTTTCGGTACTTGCTAGTTAGTAGAGATTATTTATGTAGACAGCCTAATGCATAAATAAGAACTGTGCAGCACAATTTGCATATAGAAATGAAACAGTCAACAGGTTCTCTTGATAGGAGCATTGTCCTTGAATTATTTTTTTTATTTCCAATCTGGCTTCTCATGTGTCCTGGAGTTGTGCTATTAAAACAGCGCAGCAAAAGCTGTTTGCATTGTATGTTTATCTACTATAATAAACATTGTTTTTTCTATGGCCAGGTGCTATATCCTGGAGAATGACACCGTTCAGTGTGACACAGATCTGTACAGGTCACTGCAAGCTTGGAAGGACCATAAACTTCATATTGACCATGAAGTGAGTGATGTTACCAGTCATGTATTTTCAGCTTGTCTTTGGCCTGGTTTCCTGTGGGCTGATAGGATCATGCTGACTGTGTTTGTGTCTGTCTGCCTCTGGGTGTCTTTGTTCTTCCCTGGAACCTTTTGAACTTAGTGGTTGATTTCAGAATAGAGATTTCATAGATAATTAAGTTGCTACAAGTTTGTGAAGACAAGATCGTAAGTGGAGGAGAGAAATACACCTTAAAGAACTGAGAAATGACATAAGCCTTATGAGATAAATGAGAGAGACTTGTAAGTCTCACTTCTGTCCTGTTGTATTCCTGCTTTAGGATCACTGGGCTGGATTCTTTGTGTATTTTTCGTGAAATCTTTGTCCACTTGCTATGCAGCCATGGACTTCTATTAGGTCAGTGTTGTCTGATCGTAGTTGCACAGCGAATTCTTTGTTCACACTACATGACTTCACTTTTTCTGCTGTGTAAAGAATTGAAGTGGAAGCCTGGAATACCCATCTGAGCGGGCTATGCTGTGCATGAGCTACATTGAACAAAAGCAGGAGTTTCAGTTACTGAAGGTGGTTAAAAATAAACCATGCAGGTGGCACAATTAAATTAACTGCTAACATACATCCCATGTGGCCAGATGTTACTAGACTGCCATGTAAAAGGATGGAGACTTACTGCTTTTCTCTTCCAGAATCTCTGAAGAGGGGACTTCAGAACACTCCATCTCCATCCCCTTCTCAGGCTCCTAACAGGCCAAACCTTTAAGGGCTTCATTTTCCTTTGGTACCCTTTCTCCTTTACAAATATGCCGAAGGGAAAAAATCACAGTGGAAGTAGAGTGTTTGTCTGCCTAAGGCTTTATGGCACCCTCCCACCCTGCTCCCCCCAGTGCCACATTCTGCTTTCACCTTCAGTAATCAGAGCAGGCAAACTGTGCCCCAAAATTGCCCTCCTATGTGCAGTTTCCTTTTGGGAAGGTAGCTAATCTGAAAATGCTTGTTAGGGGAGGAAGTTGTAGAAGGTAGCAAGAAAGAAGTATTTGATGGAGATACATTCGAGAGGGTTAAAATAAACCATGCTGTATTTTTTTTTTACCTGTGTGTTTCCTTTTTTCAGATCGAAACATTGCAAAATAAAATAAAAAATCTGAGGGAGGTGAGAGGTCATTTGAAGAAGAAGAGACCTGAGGAGTGTGATTGTAACAAGATAAGGTATTTTTGGTGTACTGTAGCTGATTTATGTCTTCACAGGAGAGATCAGAATCTGTTTTAAGTGGTTTCCTACCTGCTATACTCTTGTCTAATGCTTCCTGCAGCTGTCCAACCCTCCTAAAGTACTAGGCCCACCTTCTGCCAGGCAGGAGTTTAATTGCCTCTGTGTCAACTGACACATGTAAAATGCTTTTAAACCAGTAAGTTATGCTCTTGTACTGAAGATGTTGCTATTACATACTAGAAATTAATATTTTTAGCTGCAGGCTTTCTTCTGAAAACTTGCTTGACAGTATGGTACAGTGTTAAACAAATCTCTCAATAAGAATAGTGCATAATACAGGGTGGTCAGATGAGAGACTTTCTATTTGTTTTTTTCAAGGCCAGATGAGTTATCGCATAGCATATAGTTCCTGCAATATTAAGCAGCTGTGCCAGGTAGAAGAAGCAGGAATTTAACTGTTGGTGCAGAGTAACTGTAATTCTGTAGCCACCACTGACTTAGTGCAACAGATATTTTTTTTTCTCTGATGCATATGATTTCTGGATTTTAAATGCAACAGGCAATACTAAAATAGCAATTGTGCATCAAGATCTCTGCATAGTTGGTTTCTCATAGCCATGTATTTGCAAAATGGCTGTGAGATCAGCTCACTGATTACATGGAAAGAAGGTTCAAGCATATCTGAAACCTTCTAGGGAGCGAGTGTGTTCTTGCTCTGCAAATAAGCACAGCAGAAAAATCTTACAAAATTAAATGTTAACACAAACAGAATTTGCCCCTGAGAAAGTTGATGGAATGGAATAGTATAGTTCAGTTGGAAGAGATCTACAAAGATCATCAAGTCTAACTGCCTGACCACTTCAGGGCTAACCAAAAGATAAGCTTATTTTTAAGGGCATTATGCTTAAAGAAACCAGGAGCAGCTGCTCTTGATCAGAGTGATCAGAGAGCAATCACTGAGGCTGCAGTGAGGCAGATGTTACCAGGAGTACAGCAGCCACAGTGGCAGTACGACAACAAAAAAAGCTGTACTCAGAAACATAAGGCAGCTTTGCTATCATCTTTGGCTAAAGTAGTTTTCATTAAGGAGCCTCTATAAGAGGATGTGGATGATACTTCTCTGTCTCATTGCTATAATGGAGGTACAACATAATCTAGATTAGTTTACAGACACGAGGTACATAGTCCTGGCCTGTGTTGATTCTGCAACACAGCTTCAGTAACGGATCATTAAAATAAGCAGAATATCTCTTTCTTAGGTTATGCCAACCCATACGTACATACAACATACAGCATAAAGTACTTAAAATTAAACCCATACAATTCTAAATGGCAATTTCCCCAAACCTTGTTTTATCAGTTTTGAAAGCAGTGTATTATGTTAACAACCAAGTTTATTTGATACGTACTGTAAAGATGAAGTTATTTTTACAGTTAACATAAAGAACATTACATTTGTCATGTCCAATATAAGAAGCACTTCTGTTTGTGCATAGCATCATTCAGATGAATAATCCCACAGAAATCAATGATGGTAATAATCCGAGTTATATGTTTGCAGAATTGCATTGAGCGTAGCATTTCAGACTAGTTAATGATATGCACAGTATCTATGCTAGAGAAAAAAGTTGACTGAATTGAAGATAGATAGTTCTTTAATAATTTTATTTTGTTAATTTGCTATAAGTATTAAATTTACATTAGCATTTGTAATTTAAAAGATGTGTTTTGTTTCAAAGGGAATTTAAGTCTGACAATTAGATAAATAGCACTTACTGAACTTAATTTTGTCTTTGTTTATTTGTGTGGTTAGTAAGTACAGTGAACTGTATTAATCAGGAAAAAATTGCCCTTGCCTAAGACTATTTTGCCTTTTTTATCAACTTTTCAAACTACAAAAAAAGGAAACCTCTGCAAAATCTAGGAAGAGCTCTGGAGACAGAGTCAAAATAGTAGAGCTACCCAATTAGAATGTATATGTCAACTTCCACCCTACATATCTCAGAATACATTAGACAATACTACTGCTTGGACAGTCCCACCCCGTTTTGGTTTTCCTGGAACTACTAGCTAGTAATAGTGGAGGGGGGAAAAGAAACTCTATGAGGTACAAGTGATGCTTAAATTATTTTGTTTGGAAAACAGCAGGAAGGTGATATGAGCCTGTCATCATATCCTCTGAAAAATTAATGAATACTCTGTTGAAGAAATCTTGTAATTCAATTATAAATCTACTGATTTTATCTGCCCCATGTAGGGAAACAGGAAGTAATGATGACTAAAATTGAAAATTGCAACTGCAATCATCTGTAGATATATAGTGCAATACAGCAGCAGAGCACCAGGTGTCACTATGTACAAATGATCGAAGGAAAACGAGAGGCACAAGAAGTGCCTGACCCAGTCTAGCAAGGCTGTTTTGTGTTCACCACCTACCTTGAGTGAACAAATTGAAGGGAGAAGTGATACTGGATTAAATACACTTCGAATTCAGGGTGAAAATACGGTATGAACAGGTATAATTGTCTCTGCTGTTCATCAACAATTATTTTTATTTTCCAGTTACCATTCAAAACACAAAAGCAAACTGAGGCACAAGGGATCTAATCTTCATCCTTTCAAGTAAGTGAAGAAGGCCTGTTCCTTTGGAAGAGAAAATGCAAAGATCCTAATATTTGGTCCAAGTACACGTGTTAAAAACTAAGCAAAAGAAGTAATTTCACTTATCCTGTGCTAAAAAGAATAAACATACAGACACCTGGGAAAGGAACCAAACCAATGGTAAAAAAAAATGCTTGTAAATGCACATCAAAGACTTCAAGCAAGCCCATTAAACCCCTTTGGCTCCATTTTTTTCCCTAGTACCATGGAATTGCAAAGAGCTTTGGAGATCCAGAACTATTTGGAAGAAAAGCCATTTATTTTTAAAATACCGATTATTTCTTTCCCTCAAAGCAGCTTATTTTATTAGCTGCTTCATTTTTTTAGGTGTTCAAGTATAACAGAGTCTGCATGACCCTAATGTTTCATGTGTGCAGGAAAGCCCTACAGGAGAAAGACAGGCTGTGGCTGCTTAGAGAGCAAAGGAGAAAGAAGAAACTGCGCAAACTGCTTAAGAGAATAAAAAATAACGACACTTGCAGCATGCCTGGTTTGACCTGCTTCACCCATGACAACCAGCACTGGCAAACTGCTCCCCTGTGGACACGTAAGAATACTCTAAACTAACTAACAGGTAGCTGGGTACAGTGTAGCGACTAGGATGATTCTAGGTTAGCAGAAACTACCAGTATGATTAGGCAAGTAGCCAAAGCCACACAGTTTTCCTCATACTGTGTTTCAGTGTTGGTGTGATCCTTACAAAAGGCAAAGGAGTTAAATTAAACAAACAAACAAACAACAAAAGCTGCAGATGAAAACCTAGAGATACTGCAGACAGTACACAGTACATACACAGTACATCCTATTATTATCTCAGCAGCTGGAATGTTTCCCAACCAGCAAGGGAAAAACAACTAGCTGAGACACTACTCAAGTTAGATGTTTTGTGGGGGCTAGGTAAGCATAGAACGTTATGCTGGAAATGCATTCTCTGCTTTAGAGCTCAGGAATGACAGAATGACTGTTTATGAATAAAGTAGTACCATGAACAAAAAAGTAGTAAAATAAGAAGTGCCTAAAACCAGCAGCATGTATCTTAAGTCTTCATGATGCTTTTCTTTGCAGTGGGTCCTTTCTGTGCTTGTACCAGTGCCAACAACAACACATACTGGTGCTTGAGGACAATCAACGAGACTCACAACTTTCTGTTTTGCGAATTTGCTACTGGCTTTTTGGAGTATTTTGATCTCAACACTGATCCATATCAGGTACCTCATCATAGTACAGCTCTGGAAATGTATCAGTGTTCTTTACCAATGATGCATTGAAATACTGCAGTATTGGTACAAAAAATAGATGCAACTATTAACATAAAATGATTTGGCTTCTCGCTTGTTGGAAGTAAACCACAGATACTCCATATGTGGAAGTTACCAACCTACAGAGGAATACCTATTCTCTAAAATGAACCTATCTGTATTGCAGCTAATTAACGCAGTGAACACGCTAGATAGAGAAGTTCTCAATCAACTGCACATCCAGCTGATGGAACTAAGAAGCTGCAAAGGGTATAAACAATGCAATCCAAGAACTAGGAATATGGATCTGGGTAAGTGCTTCTGCTATTACACTCAGAAACTACCCAAAAGAAATGAATCTCTTGTTCACTAACATGAAATTCATCAGCCAAAAAATGATTTTAGAATTGATTTACACTAGTAATGCTCTGCTGTGGCTGATGATTGCACGCTCAAATTCTTGTATTGTTTGTTCAGTTTGTTTTATGTAATGTTTCCAGAAACTCACAGCTACATAGTAAGACTTGGATACTTAATATGCAGCAGCTGAAATGCAGGAAGAGCATCCCTGCGTATGGCAGGGGGGTTGGAACTAGGTCATTTTTAAGGTCCCTCCAGCCTAAGCCGTTCTATGATTCTGTGACTGGAAGAGATGAGGAAGGAAGAAAAGTAATGAAAGAACAAACAAATACCTAATAGCTGGTTCTGAGTTTGTAGGCTCTTGGGATAAGTCAAGCTGGAAGGGACTTGTGGAGTTCATCTGGTCTAACCTCGTGCTCACTATAAGGTCAGATTTGAGGTCAGACCATGTTACTCAGGGCTTTATGCATTTGGATCTTGAAAACCTCCAAGAATAGAGACTGCACAACCCCTCTGGACAACTGGTCTAGCAGTTGTGGTACAGCATTCCATGAAGGCATAATTTTTAGGACTATTTCTTTTAGACACAATGCAGTCCATGCAGACTTATTAAACTAGCTTAAAAATAACTTTAACCTCAAAAAAAGGAGGCTAATGCTTAAGCTGATTGATTTTCCCCTGTTGGTGCAAGGTACTTGTAAAATAACAGCAGATCAAGGAAGGAGATGCATTGAGGAATGCATTGAGGAATGCATTACATTACCAAAAGATGTGCTCTTCTAACTATGCCTTCACATTTCAAAAAGAATGAAACCCATTGGTCTGTATTCTTTTTCTAGGTTAGACTCATTGTTTTGAGTCCTTTAAATTTTCCTGGTCTAGTCAATACTATTGTGTGTTGTTTTTTTAATGTTTAGTCATGATAGCAAACTGAAAGGTACAGTTACTTGTATTTCTCCTTTTAAATTGCATTTCTTATTTAAATTGCATCCCTTAGTACAATGACGTAAGAAATGCAACATAAATATGTATATATATATATATATAGCCTTCAGAGCTTGAAGACCCCCACCCTCAAAATACTGTTAATCTGCCTAAGTCCACCTGAGTCCAAAATATTACTTCAGGTCTTATTTAGCATATGTACCATCTAGAGCTGTATGCTTTGAAATCAAGTTTTTGGCATTTAAGTATACTGCTGCAGGATGTTTACAGAAAAGTTTCACAATTACCTATCTCAATTTACACCCCATTTTACCTAGAATAAGGGATTATATCTGTAAATAAGTTCTAGTGAATGTCTTAATTCTGTTAATATTCTGTTAATATTCTTAGATCTTTCTCTGAATTGTGTTTTGCCCAATACCTTATTCTGTTGGTTAATACAATGGTTAATAACATGTTAATTTTTTCCTCACTTAGGACTTAAAGATGGAAGCTATGAGCAGTACAGGTACATTTTCAAAAATACATAAATTATTATTCTTAAATACTACCTTTATGCTCAAGAGTTAGGAGTGTGGGATTGGGAACAACATGGACATACTGCCTACAGTGACGTTTGCCAGGTCTTTCCATCCCAGTTACTGTAAACACTGGAGATATTTCTGTTTCGATGTTATAGCATGTTCTAATCTTTGTAGCTAAAAATCAGGCTAAACTCTTCTCCTTCCTCATCTTTCAGACTGTAGTGCTGGTGGTTTTCTTGGTGATGGTTAACTTTTTTCTCCTTTTGCTGCTTGAAAATTAGGCAGTTTCAGCGTCGAAAGTGGCCAGATGTGAAGAGACCATCATCTTCTAAGTCACTGTGAGTTGGGAGCAGTTCATGAAAAGCATTAGCTTTTGCTTACCTTTCTTTTCTTTATTTTTCTGTTTGCATGCAGCACCTTTTTAACATCATCATCTATTCTCATGCAAGTGGCAAGTGTTCTAAATTAAGCAAGCACTATTACACTGCCATCATTACAGACCAGTCCTGTACAAAACCTCTTGGTATATGTTTTCTGGGAATTTAGGAACGTTAAGGTTAAAGCAATTTAAAACTTGAGCAAAGGTGGACTCTCAATTAAGAAACCAATTATCATTAACTATCTGTAAGAATTTGAGATCATTATGTTGGTTTTGTCTAAACTTAAATGTGTGGCAGCCTCATAGCAGCCTCTCACAACATCCAGAAATAACAAGACTGATTTCATTACTTGAATTATGATTCAATGACTGAAGTCATTACTCATAGAGGATCACGTGCTTTCTTGCTATTTATCTAACTACTACCTCCTTCATGTTGTGAGCAAAGAAAGCAAGTTAGAACAGAAAGTAGTGTACTTTGTACGAAGAAAAATCTTTACATTTTGGGTTATTTTGGCATTATACTAAAATTCAATATTGTTGCTTATTTTACTGCCCTTTGAAACTTGCAGATAATATCATTCAGTATAGTACTGTTAGTTCTCAACTTGCCAGACCTCAAAGGTGAGATACAAATTTAAAACCAAGAAAAATAGTTACCTTTGACGTACCAGTTACTCTCTGTCTCTGAACCTCTTTAAAAAAGAAGGTTGAGACTTCAACTCATAAGATATTCACCAGCTATGCAGTAAGAACTATGTACCAGCACCTTCATCAATAGGCACAGTCCTATTCTCCTCAACTCCTCCGAGAGAGAGCATTTTTGTCACATAATGGTAACACTTTATATATCTAGTTGAAGAGAGCCAAGATGGGATTCAGAACCAAACGAAGATAGAATTTATGAGATACACAGGTTGAAGTTTCAAACATAATTGTTTGCTTGTGATATACCTACTGTATTTTTATAGGTGGTCTAGTGTTTCAATTGTTTTACTCCTGCATGGAACTATTGAAAATATATTCCAACTACTTCCTAACTAGGATGTTATACACTAAATCATGTTTGTTTTATTTTAAAGAGGCCAACTGTGGGAAGGATGGGAGGGCTAACCTCCCCACCTGCTGGACCTCAGTGAGGATATAAACTGGCCAGAACTTGAATTCATGTACAGACTGTGAAAATGTGTATGATTTCGGAAAGAATTATAATGTTAGCCTGGAGGACTGGATGAACTTTGAGGCCAAAATAGATAAGAGTTTGCACTGGTGAGTGAATTAAGTAGATGAAGTGAAATTATGGAACTCCTGTCAGGAATACAGGTCTCTTTGAAATCCACTATTGTACCTGCTTTTTGCTTTGGATTATACCTCACCTGCTTCACAAAGCATTTTATGTCAAGAAGACACCACTAACATTGTTCCAGGAATTGACAGAAGAGGAAACACAGCTGCATCCCAAAGAGGATTGCCATCCCCGTGGGCAAAGTGTACACAAAGACCGTGGAAGTAAACTTACAACATTTCTCAGTTCAGCTATACCTTTGGACGGCACAAGGGAAAATTTCAAAACCAAGTATTTCTAAAGCAGCATACAGAAAACATGGATGCTTTTGCTTCCAACTGGGGTAAAGGTAATGGTGGAAAAGAACTTTTAAGAGATTCAGGAATTCAAATGAGCAGCACTGAATATTCTCAACACCATGGTATTTCTCAAATTTCCTCTGAGGGTATGTTTTAGTTCCATGTCTACTTGTCTGTCCTATTGACAACTCTAGAAAAATTAGAGAAATCTTAACTAACAGATGTCAGACTTTTGGAGGGGTTGTGTAAATATTGATCAATATACTGTTTAAAAATAAATTCTTTCGGATTGTGAAGAATTTTGTTAATAAAAGTGTGGAATGCCCACATACCATTTCTCAAAAGGTTACTTAATGTTGCATAGCACATTTCAGAATTCATCCATTTTTAAAAGTACTGAAAAAAATCAGTAAATGTACATCTTACATTTTAATGAAATCAAATTTGTATTATTTTTTTTTCTGTGGATAATATTATATTGTTATGTTCAAAACCAAAACAATTCATTTGAGAAAGCAACATTGGCTTAGTAGTGCAACTTTTACACTTATTTTTAAAAGGCTGCTCTGAGAAGTTCAATAATCATGACCAATAAAAAAATAATGTAGTTATAGCTCAGTCTACAGAAAAGTAGATGACCTGAATAAGGGTTACTGTTTAAAAGCTTTTAAAGGAAAGAAAACATGACTTTACTAAGGAAGCACAGCGTACAGAGTCTACTTGAGTATCTTCATAAAGCTGTTATTAAATACATTGTAGTACAGGCACTAGCAGTAATAATTTATCATTTTTTTTCCATGTTAATCTGCTACCTGTTTTAAAGCTGCATGTGAGAGGAAGCTCGTAATAGACTCAACCAACTGCGGCCTTGACTCTTAACAAGAGGTACATTTTTTGCAAAATACAAACTTAACTTGCACTTCACAATAGAAAAGCATTTTTGCTGCTTTCCTGGGGGAAGTATTAGCAGTCTACTTTTACCCAAGTCAGTATGCAGAAAGAATGCTTGCTAAGTTAGATCAAAAAAGTTTCCACTTACCTTTTTTTGCATTCAGCCTATAACTTCTGAACAGAGGATGAGACTATCAGACTGTCCTGCATGGCCAGTATTACTGCTCCAGTTGCATATCAGGTAGAAGCTTGAAAAGTTACCATTTCCCTTTATGCTCATGCAAAATACTGAGCTGTAAGATTTGCACATTACATAAGAAGTAACTGTTACTTTCTAAAGGTAGGTTGTTGCTGAGTTAGGGGGAAAGCTACCACCTCTCCTCCTTTCAGCTCTGCTAAAGAGCGCTATTTAAGTTGAAAAAGACATGAATTCCAGTCAGTATCGGTGCAGCTTTGCTAAACTGGTCTCACAGGCAGAAGGTCTAAGGCATTACTCCCTTAGCTTTTACAGCCAGCTGGAAAAAAAAAATAAAATCATTTGCTATACATAGCTTTCCACAGTAACAGCTGTAACAATTTTGTAATAGTAGTGGATTTCCTCTGACCTTACCAGGATGTAGCTAGCAGCCTCGAAGTATTAGAGAGCTAATACACTATGTCACCAAGTTCTGATTTTAAATAGAAACCTTTATTTACATTATTATTAACATCCAAACACAAAAATCAGAAGAGCAGTAATACCTTACAACCAACTCTTTTATAAACCAGTCCCCAAGGTTTTTCTGTTTTTCAACATAAAGATACAGATATTTCAAGCAATACTTAATGTAAACTAAACTTAAATGCAATTCTCAATACTGTATGCCTTCTCCTGAGAATTTTTTAAAATATTGCTCTCAGAGTTACATGGTTTTCATACTTGCTGTATCATTCAATCACCTGGTAGTCTGCACATAAATTCAAAAATAAAATGTGTGCTAATTGGTACAACATTCAAATAGTTTTTGTCTTCTAACTGAAAAATGGTCCTGATTTCCTAAATTTAAAAGCAGAATTTGAGATCAAGATTGGTACTACATATGAATTTTATAAAAACATGGTTTCTGTGATCAAAGAATAACAAAGTAGCAAAACTATGCTCATTATGCAGCAGTGACCAGAGGTGGTTGGACTAGCTAACTGTTCTCTTACAGTTGAAAAATTGTATACAGTTTTTGTTGTTGTTGTTAAATATGCTGCTACAGAACCAAATCAGAATTGGTGGAGATATTAAATGCTAACAGCTTTCAAGGTAAGTTTTATTTACTGCAGTCCATAAGCCTGTCACACTAGACATAATACTTGGAATCAGTGTTGCCAAGAAAGATGTCATCAATGCAATTTAAAAATGTGCCCTCCCCCCTTTATTAAGTTTAAACTAAAAATCTAAAAATCTTTGGATTCAGCAAAAAAGTAGGTACTAGAAAGCTCCAACATTCTAAATACAGATGAGAAAACAATGATCCTTTACAACACCAGTCAGGTAGGTACCAGCTATACATACATGTATAAACAAAATCACTCATTTTAAAAAAAGTTAAGAGGGCACAATGTATAAAGTTGTATATAGTCTAAGAGCTCACCTAATGAAAGCAATCAGGGTTTGTAGTTTCCATCAATATAATGAATAACTACAAAATATAAAGATTGTTCTACTCTCATTTATATAAAAAGCAAGGGATTGTTGCCTTTCAACTTCAGTAGGCAGCACTCAAACAGATACGTTCTAAGAAATAAGAAAGAAGATAAAAGTTCCTTAGCCTTTTAAAAGTTTGTCATTAAAAATAAAAACACACATGTATTGGATTGAAAATTTCAAATAAATACTAACACCTAACCTATATACTCCGTACTAATCACAAAGATAGGGTTGCATAAGGTAGACTGAATCTACATTCCTGTTGGAACACAACTGGCTGTATGCTAAGGATTAATTTGTTGAGAAATTTTCTAGTGAAAGTTATTCCTATTCAAATGGAAGATCACTGCATATTCTGAAAAATAAAACCACCTCATACTTACAGTACCAAGAAGAAGCAATCAAGAACACTTTTTTCCTTTTTTTCCTTTTTTTTTTTTTTTTTACTCACTTGGGAGAAGTCAGTTTTCCATTACACAGTGAACAACAGAACAAAAGGACCACACATCTTAAACATTTCTGGGTCATCCCTTATGGAAGATTAGGGGTTTGACTCATTGTAACTGCCTGAAACTGGAAAAACTGCAAAAGGATCTTCATGTCAAGGAACCAAAATAGAGAAAAAAATAAACCTTATCAGCAAATAATATGAATAAATTTGTAACCAAACAAACTTAAATACTGATATGAGAGAAACCTGCTTAGAAAATACATTCATTACTATTAGAACAATCCAATGAAGTGCAGACATTTGGTTAAGTGTGGCTTAATATCCTTATAGATTTCTGGATGTTATGTAACAACAAATATTTTGCAACAGATAAACTTCTTTCAAAGAACATTTAGAGTTTGTTAAAATTGACCAAAAAAGACACAATCCAGATTCATCAACTGAAAAGGAGAAAGATTGTAGAAAGACATGATCATCATGACAAGTCATAACATCTTACTATGCAGAGCCTTTTTGTCAAATTGCCTTATGCAAAAATAAATGTAACAAAGTGCTCACAGGTGGAGAAAGCATTTAACAACTCGTCTTTTATAAAAAGCTACATGTTAAAGATGTAAAAATAAATGAAGTGTCAAAGACCAAAGAAGAGAAAGATGTGGGCTGAGGTCACCCAGTTTCAAAGTCATTAAGTTTAATTAAAAAAAAAAAGTATTCTATTTGGACCTCAACTACGCTGAGTTTACAGAAATCAATTTTGTTAAATATTTAGCTTCACAAACTCTGCAAAAATGAGTTAGTGACCTACAAAAGTCATATATATAATACATTATCTTAAAGAACATATTTACAAAATTTATTCACAAAAAGACTGCAAAATTCTGATTCCGACTGCAGTGCCTTGCCTTGAGTTTTCTGAAGTATTCTCAAAATGATGAAAGATTATTGCTCTAATTTCCATACACAGAAAACATTACATTATGCAGTCTTCAAATAATTCTTAAGAGATTGTGTTTGAGAAGGAACATGAGCACACCCTACCTTCATATTAAGTCCTTATCAAAGATATTGCATTAATCCATTATATAGTCTTATATAAAGTGCACTCAGCTGCACATCAATATGTAAATATTAGTCACAATTGTGTTTAAATAATTTAAATTTATTATCCTCTCTTTTTACCCCTTGGCATCAATGGACAGGATTTTGGAATAGTATGTGCCAATTCATTTTGCACTGCTCCTCTGCTTGGGAAATCCTGACTCCTGGGGGTAAGAGATTAAAAGCAGCATTTATATTCAGGAATTAATATAAAAGAGTCAAGGCTAGGAACTACATTCTCTGTCAGATATTCTTACTAGAGAAATCAGGAAATTCTTATCACTGTGACTTCTCCAGGCACTTTCATCTGCCTGTAGTTAAAGGGCTTTGGATAGCTACAGTAAACAGACAAGGTATTCCAGGGGTCTACCCATCCTATTTACTAAAATGCCTTTGCCGAATTCACATTTCTAGAGGCAGAGCGCCAAAAATATTTATGACCTTATTTGTACACCACAATATACAGTAATATGGATGCCTCTACTAAAAAAGTTTTTTTCTTTTTTTTTTTTTTTTCTCTGAATGAAGTAACTTAGGACATCATGGTGATTAGCAGGAAAAATCCCTTATTTCCAGAAGGCCAGTACTAGTTGCCATGAAGAATGCGTAACTTTCCTTTACAATACTAGTGCATCGTTAATACAGCGCATTCTTGTTTGGAGATCGGGTTTAGGTGTCAGCAGTATTTCTGTAAAAGAAAAGAAGAAAGAATCATCAGAAAAAATAAAAAATACTTTTGCTGGAAAAACTGGTCAACATTTTGCACTGACAGTCAGTTTCTAAACTGAACAGATTTTAGAGCTCCATTTTGAAGATAAATTTGTAGAAAAGTAACGTTGTCCCAGAATTCCCTAAACACATTATTTAGTTATCTTCTCTGTATGATGTGGTTTTGGAAAATGTAACATTTCACTTCCTTTTTCCCTCTTTATAAATGGTACTGGTTTTTATCAAAGTCCTCTAATACCTTCCTTGTCTTGCAAAAGTCCTCAGATTATTTTGGCTACTACTTATGTACCTTAGACAAAATTTCATGAAGTACTAGCAACTTTAATAAATGTAGCGCATCTCAATATTATATTGCCTATCCCTTGGCATTTTCTGGAAAGGTTTATGGCACAAGTGTATTTAGTATTTTGGCCTCCTTTGTCATACCTGTTATTAGCTTACTTTTCTCTTAAATAAGAGGCCTAAATTTTCCTTAGTGTCTTGCTATGCATATACAATATTCTAAGGTGTTACAAGGGTAAGTATCACCATTAGCTACTCACAGAAAATACTGCAATACCAGGATTCTTGGTCTGACTCATCTGCTGAAGATATTTTTCACAGTCCCTGTGTTTCCCTTTCTGGCTTTTTTCCAAGCTCTCTTTGTGCAGTCTAAACCTCGATCCTATATATGATAGTTCTAAGTCAACAGCTAATCACAGCTGCTTGGATTCATCATGGATTTGATTTAAATATCACCAAAAATAGTATGTATCTTGTGTCATACAAGTTGTATGTCCACAGATGTAAAGACAAAGAGGATAACAGAGAACAGGATTGTGACATTGAGGAATGTCTTGAAGCAAATCTTATTCAGTTGGAAGAGCCAATACATCACCACTCGTTATGGACAACTTACCTGGTCTGGACCCATAGGCATCCCTGACATAGGCATAGTATTAATGTTCATCTGTCCAAGATGGCCACTGCTGCCATTCATGTGCATCATACTATACGTTGCAGGATTACCTTGATGGCTGAACTGTTGCTGTGGAAAAGAACTGAAGCACAAAGGCAAGAATAAAATGACATCCCAAGAAGTTTACTCACTGTTATGTTGCCTTCCCTGTACCAGCTGTCAACATGTGAAAGAATTACGTTATCAACAGAAGCCTAAAATTATTTCTACGTTTATTTGTTTCTGCATATTGTCTGTTTAACATAGAAATAAAAATTTCCCTCCCCAAAGGAATTTTGAATTTTTAAATACATGCAGAACTATGTATACACATTTCCTATTGTAACCTTTTTGGACACACTGTGGTACTATTCTGAACCTTTGTATTTCCCCCAAGTTGTGTTTTCAATATTTAAAGAGTGAATGTTGTCTCCAGTTGCAAAGACTGCAGGGGTCCAATATGACTAAGTGGAACTAGGCATAATACAGGTTCAATCAGTGTATTTCCTAAACCAGAGCAGGATATCAAGGACAATACAGACTTTAGAAATATTATTTCCTTTTCTATGTCCTTTTCTTACTACAAGCTATAGTTTCTATTTTTGGGCAAACTGAAAACAATTTTTGAGCTATAGGTTATAGCTGTAAATTTACCTGCTCCTGGTCATGCTTCCTGAGGGCCAGCCCTTCATCTCAGGAGACTGGTACATTGCTGCTGCCTGAGGATGCTGCATCATAGGATTCTGAGAGGGTCCCATTCTTGATGACATCATTGGATTGGGAGGGCTTGATACTCTACTAAAGGCAGGATCAGGTTGTTGAGTTATTCCTGACAAGACAAAGAACACTATACTCAGTTATCATCACCTAGGCCTCGGTTTATCTTCTTGCAAGGATAGGGGGGGGGAAATAATCTTTGTTATAGGAACATTTCCATTTTTCAGAATGATCAGTATTTAGTAAATTTGGATTAATAAATAAAAAAGGAAAAGAACACCAGACAGACATTCAAAACAAAACAAAAAACCACCATGTTAGTACTAGTACCATAATTAGGTGGATAGGAGAATTGCTGTGGAGGAACTTGAGCCATTGGAGGGCCTGTCAGACCACTGTCCATGCTTCCTGAGGCAGTCACATTTGGTGGCGGACTGAAGGCCTGAGGTTGCTGTTGCTGCTGCATCATCATTGCCATCCTCTGTTGTCTAAAATGATGACTTATTAGCTCCCTGTTACGCTGAGCCACCATTTGAGCATTAAGAAAACCTTGTTGCTATCCCCCAAAGAAAAAAAAATCATATTAGAAAAATTTTACAAATAAAGTTGTCAGACTCAATCAAACGGTGTACAATCTAAGACCCAGTATATCACTCACTAGAATAGAAAGAAATTTTATTTTTAAGAAAACCCACAGCTATTACAAAAAATATCCAAATTTCATACAAAGGTTTTCATTGAGTTGTTACTAGTACAAAACAGGTGACAGAGTAGACTGTCTATTACTTCCTACATGGAAAAGACAGTTTGCATACTGTATTGATAGCATGGACCCAATGAACAAACCTCTCTGAAGTCTCAACAATAAAAGAGGTAAAAAAAAAAAAAAAAAAAAAAAACCTTTTTTTTAATTATATGATGGAAGAAAAAAAAATGCTGTGGCACCATGAAAAAAAGGTTTAAATTCTAAACAAACCTGTAAAAGAGGTGTCTGTGTAAAAATGACTGTTTCAGAAATCATTAGTGTAATAATTACTTACCTGTGATGCCACCTGTGGCTGCATAACTGGTCTCATCACTGAGGTATTACTGCCTGGATTTTCCATTTTCATTTCAAGGGCTTGACGGGTTTGATTCATGAACTTAGAAAAAGATATTTCAGCACTGTTAGCTTGAAAATACCAGTATCTGAACAAAATTATGGCAACTCCTTAAAAAAAAATTCTTTACACACCACTTGAATCTCTAAAGAACAATGGTTAATTTTTCCTCATTTGATATCCCTGAAGTACCAAACTATTTGTTATCGAGCTCAGACAGACACATAAAAAGAAAAAAACCTTCAAATAGTGCAGTACTACTTGGCTTTATTTTTCCCTCTGAAATAGCACTTTTTAAGAATAAATATGTAACAGACTATCTCTCTGTTCCAAATCATGTTTGGGGACAAAGAGTATAATCTCCAGCCTTGTTTAAAATAGTGAACTATTTTCTCCTTCCTTTCTATCACAACATCCCAAAACCATACAGCTTGAACTAGTGTTGTAGAACAGCCAAGACAGAAGACAGCATTTCCTAAGGATTTAACGTTGCCATTCCAGGTCACACAGCACTGTCTCAGTTTTCTGAGTTTTATTTGTACATTTTCTATTACCCAAAACTTCACCACGTCCAAATGTACTTCTGAAAGGCCACAGCACAGGAAGCATTCTCCATACTAAATTCATATTCAATGATGTTCTCTTATATTTGGTATCAGGACTTCATTTCTCACATAGGAATTCAATACTGCAATCATGCAGCAATTTTTTAAAGCAGTGCTTTCAAGCCAGTGTTAAGATCTTTAGATAAAGTGGTTTTATCTACTCTCTCAACTTCTGTCCTAAGAAAAAGCCTACGGCAACAGCAAATCATAAGGGAAGGCAAAATAGTATTTCAATAAGCTCAAATGCAGGGAAAAAGAAAAAAAAAAAAAAGAACAAAAAAAAAAAAGAACATTTGGTTTTCAGGAAAAATGTAACTGCTTATTTAGTGGTTAAAAATGATAATCTTAACATGGATAATGAGGTCATCCAGAGATGTTGTACAGGATTACCATTTTAATTAAAAAGCACTGTTAAAATTAAAGTTCCGTCCTTTCAATCATGTGCTATAATGTCAATTTCCATATTCCTGAAGTAATACACAGTTCAGAGCACACCTCATTCTGAAACAAGACAAAAGAGTAAAAGCAGGAGCAAAAGATTACCTGCTGCCCCTGAAGCCTCTGCTGGAGCTGCATGCGGAGCTGCTTTGGTGTATTGGTCCGAGGTCTCATCACATTTGCTCTAGGATGCATACTTTGAAGTGGAAAATTGCTTTGTTGGCTCATCTGATTCATCACTGAATTAAAGGATGGCTGTTGTCCCTGAATGTTGCTAAAACCTCCTGGCAGGGCTGCCCCTTGCCCTTGATAGGGCTGACCATATAATGAAGGCTTCTGGTCAATCATCACTGCAGATTCCTGACCTTGAAATGAATCTTGCTTGGCTTCCAGAGCTTGCCCCTTCAAGAGACGTAAAACACATACTGCTAGTGAGACCAATAGTTTCTTGAGTAGAAGATAGCATAGGCAAGATTACTACTAGTTTTGTCTCTAGACAAGTGAAATAGCAAAGTGATTATTAATAATTTATTTTAAAATCAGTTCTGCTGCACACTACTCACATAAGCAGATCAATATCATTATTCAAACCCCTTTACACTTTTAAACTGCAGTTTGTACAAAAAATGGTATGATTTTGTGTTTTCGAGTAAATTCCGAAGATTTTAACAGAATTTCTTTTTCCTATTTGCTAGCCATGCAAATTCAGGCAGGGTGAAATTAGAAGAGATGAAAGTGTCCTACTCACTCATCAGTTTAATCAATACTAAGTTCTCCAATGGTAACCATTACTCTAAACAAATACTTCCAAAGAGATTTAGAAAAACAGCATCAAGGAAGTGAGAAGAGACACATGTGAGTAAGGAGGCTCTCCTCACTTTCTTTTCACATACCAAAATAATAAAGGCTATTGGGAAAAAAAAAAAAAGGCCAGAATTTCTTCCTTCTTACTTGGTTTACAAGATCAGGAATTCCTAGCGCTCTGTCAATTTCTTCCAGGCTCGTGACATCTGTATTACTCAGCAAAGTGTGCAGCTGATCCAAAAGCGCTCTTTCCTCATTCTGTCCTTCCACATTTGGTGCTGCACATAAGAGGTCATCCAAAGAGTTTCTCACTAATTGTCTATAAATATATATATAAAAAAAATGCAACCATTATGGACTATAGAGACATGTACTTAGTTTTTATATTATATATTGACCTGGTGATGATGAAGTACTATAATCACCCAGAAGACTGAAGTAAGACTTAAAAACTTAATGTCCAAATTTAGGTCTAGAAACACCCAGTCAACTGTCATCTATTCTTCAACACTTGCAAATTCTGTTTTCTCCTGGCACCTAAATACTAACTTCTGAATGTGCCAGAGAGACATAATTTAAGATTTTCCCACTTCTTTTCTCTGTGCCTCCCAACTCAGGGACTGATTGGTTCTGTTAGCAAAACCTTTTCTGGGGCTGGGTTAAAGAGGTCCAGTGTCATATGATGACAAAATATCAGCAGAATAGGAAATAAATTCTGATCTGTTGTCCCCACCACATAAGCTACTTTGATTTTTTTTTCCACGTCTTAAATTCATCTGACAGAGTGAACAGTTGTATTCAAACACTTTTAAAAATTTTCCTTAATTCTACCTGTTTTGTGAACTCCGCGATGCTTGCTCCATGGACAGCATGTTGTCAGGCCATGATCCTGGCTGGTTAGATGGTGCCGGCTGTCCATATGGATTCCCCCCCAAACCCATGTTAATCTCATTCGACCCTGTGAGGTAAAACACTTGTTTTTAAAACAAAAGGTGTCATCTTGCTTTTCAGTGTTCACACAAAGTGTTGTGGAAGATCACATAAATTATGAAGTAGCTTCAAGAGCTACTAATTAGCATGTTTCGAGGTGCATACATAAATTCATCCTCGGGCTTATTTCAGAAATATGATACGACCACAGATTTAAATGTATGAGTACTTAAATGAGTACCTGAATTTGCAATGTGGTTCCATATGAAATTTGGATAAGCCATGTGAGAAGAGTTTTGAAAAATTTTGCAAAAAGCTTTTAAAAACCCTGATCATTGAGAAGTTCACAGTAATGATAATAATAACTACATCAAAGATTATTAAACAAATTAGGTACCAAATAATATGAATTAAATTGATCAGAATACTAGCATCTTCACATATAATCATAAATGGCATCCAGTTCCTGGAATTTAGCAGAGAAGTACTGCACTAAAGAAACAGAAATAATCTATAAATTATCCAAAAAAGATCTGGAGACTCAGCATGAACATCATATACATAAAACGCAGATCACCAGAAAAAAAAAAAAAAAAAAAAAGAACATCAACAAGTCATCAAATGCCCCAGTCAGGGGAGATAAGTCTTAACCTCAAAAAGTCAAGTCTTCAGATGAAAAGCTAGCATTGTATGAAAACTGAAAACATTTTGATGATGCTTGCAAAGAAACTAATGAGATAGTGCTAAGTATGACAATAAAAAATAAAGAACTTACTCATGTGAATCATTTGCTGTTGTAGCATTGGTCTTGTACCAGGTATGCTATTAGAACGAACGGGCAGTCCAGGCATAGAGCTGCCTGCTGTGGGCCTGGGCAGTGATGCACTAAACTCAGGTCCTGGTCTCATCACTGAAGTAGAACTTGTAGGTTCCAACCTGTTAACCTTTGAGTTTGGCAAACCCCAGTCTCCAGACTGGTGTTGATTCATAGCTACACTTCTGTTGGGAGCGCTCACTATAAAGAAAAGCACAAAATACAGTCTTTTTTTTTTCTAGAACGCAATACGTATTTTTGTTTTAAAACTAACTATAAGTAGATTTATTTGTTGTTGGTTTTCATTTATTTTTACACCAACAAAGATACTCACCAATGACAGAGCAATTCACTGAACGCTTAACAAAAGCAACTAAAGCTTACCATTCTAAGTTTTGAATCATCAGTTACACTACTCATTAAATATATTTTAAGTTGCCAATGTTTGACTGCCACTATGACTTGTTCTTGCTTCTATATATGAAAAACACATTAAACTCAAAACTTTTAATAGTCAAAAATAATCTCACTTATAAATAAACAGCTATATTCTTAAAACCTCAACTAGAGATAATAATTAAGAAGTATTTCTATGCCGATTATAAAACTAATATTCAAATAATAAAAATAATAAAAACTAATAATAATAACAAATAATAAAAACTAATATACAAAATTAGAAAGGCCAAAGCTCATCTGGAGCTCAATCTGGCTACTGCCGTTACAGACAACAAAAAACCTTTTTACAAATACATCAATGCAAAACAGAGGACTAAGGAGAATCTCCATGCTTTACTGGATGCAGGGGGAAACATTGTTACAAATGATGAGGAAAAGGCGGAGATGCTTAATGCCTTCTTTGCCTCAGTCTTTAGTGGTAATACAGGTTCTTCTCTGGATACCCAGTACCCTGAGCTGGTGGAAGGGGATGGAGAGCAGGATGTGGCCCTCACTATCCACAAAGAACTGGTTGGTGACCTGGTACGGCACTTGGATGTGCACAAGTCGATGGGGCCAGATGGGATCCACCAGAGGGTACTAAGAGAACTGGCAGAGGAGCTGGCCAAGCTGCTTCCCATCATTTATCAGCAGTCCTGTCTATCAAGGGAGGACCCAGTTGACTGGCGGCTAGCAAAAATGACGCCCATCTACAAGAAGGGCTGGAGGGCAGACCCAGGGAACTATAGGCCTGTCAGTTTGACCTCAGTGCCAGGGAAGCTCATGGAGCAAATTATCTTGAGAGTCATCATGCGGCACTTGCAGGGCAAGCAGGCGATCAGGCCCAGTCAGCATGGGTTTATGAAAGGCAGGTCCTGCTTGACAAACCTGATCTCCTTCTACGACAAAGTGACGCGCTGGGTGGATGAGGGAAAGGCTGTGGATGTGGTCTACCTTGACTTCAGCAAGGCTTTTGACACCATTTCCCACAGCATTCTCCTCAAGAAACTGGCTGCTCTTGGCTTGGACTGGTGCATGCTTCATTGGGTTAGAAACTGGCTGGGTAGCCGGGCCCAAAGAGTCGTGGTGAATGGAGTCAAATCCAGTTGGAGGCCAGTTACTAGTGGTGTTCCCCAGGGCTCGGTGCTGGGACCAGTCCTCTTTAATAGCTTCATCAATGATCTGGATGAGGACATCGAGTGCACCCTCAGGTGCTCGAGGGTAGGAAAGCTCTGCAGGACGATCTGGATAGGCTGCACCGATGGGCTGAGGTCAACTGCATGAAGTTTAACAAGGCCAAGTGCCGGGTCCTGCACCTGGGGCGCAATAACCCCAAGCAGAGCTACAGGCTGGGAGATGAGTGGTTGGAGAGCTGCCAGGCAGAGAAGGACCTGGGAGTGATGGTGGACAGTCGGCTGAATATGAGCCAGCAGTGTGCCCAGGTGGCCAAGAAGGCCAACGGCATCCTGGCTTGTATCAGAAACAGTGTGACCAGCAGGGCTAGGGAGGTGATCGTCCCCCTGTACTCGGCTCTGGTGAGGCCGCACCTCGAGTACTGTGTTCAGTTTTGGGCCCCTCGCTACAAGAAGGACATCGAGGTGCTCGAGTGAGTCCAGAGAAGGGCGACGAAGCTGGTGAGGGGCCTGGAGAACAAGTCCTACGAGGAGCGGCTGAGGAAGGTGGGCTTGTTCAGCCTGGAAAATAGGAGTTTCAGGGGCGACCTTATTGCTCTCTACAGGTACCTTAAAGGAGGCTGTAGCAAGGTGGCGGTTGGTCTGTTCTCCCACGTGCCTGGTGACAGGACAAGGGGGAATGGGCTTAAGTTGCACCAGGGGAGTTTTAGGTTGGATCTTAGGAAGAACTTCTTTACCGAAAGGGTTGTTAGGCACTGGAACAGGCTGCCCAGGGAAGTGGTGGAGTCACCATCCCTGGAGGTCTTTAAAAGACGTTTAGATGTAGAGCTTAGGGATATGGTTTAGTGGGGACTGCTAGTGTTAGGTCAGAGGTTGGACTTGATGATCTTGAGGTCTCTTCCAACCTAGAAATTCTGTGATTCTGTGATTATAAAACTAATATTCTTTAATGCTTCTTCTACCAAAGCTCATACTATAATCTTGCAACATTTTTTGCATTAAAGCTTTTTCTTTTACAATGAGAACTATTTGTACTCAATCAACAAACCTAGATTTGCTCCAAAATTTTCCTGGTTTTCAATCATTCTTGGACTTCCACCCATCATGTTTTGCTTTTGTAACATGGAGAATGCATTGACATTCCTCACTGGAGCACTCGAACCCACAGGACTGTCTAAAGACATGGCTCTGTTGAAAGGTGGACGGGTAGGCTGCACAGACTGGGGATTCCTCATACCTGTTGAAGAATTAAAAGAAACTTGCAATTGTATATTTTAAATAGAAAGTACAATTAATGACTTGTAAAAAATTAATCTATTTACAGGCATGTATATTTGACCTTAAACAAGCCAATAGCTAGCTACTCTGCTTATGTTCTCACTGCCTAAGCCACATTTTGAATGTATAGTTCAGACCTTTCACAGGCAAAGCCAAATGCAACTACATCTGACAATAGACATAAAGAGGTATGTTTATGTTTGTTTTTATAATGAACCCTGCTTTTAATATTTTGAAATACTCTAGTATTTCAGACACTTTAACATATAGGAGTGGACTATCCATCCTTTGGATAACTCTGACATGGAGACAGAACAAGTCAAATGGATCTCTGTTTGAATGAAGTGGAGCCCAGAAGCAGTATGTTTTTGAGCACTTTGCATTACGTGGATTTATTAGTGAGATCACTGTGTTCTACAGCCAATGCTGTCAGTGATCTTACATTTTTCATTTTCCATGATTCACCTCCTTAGGTTACATGAGCAAACTATGACCCCATATAATCAAGAGATGACCAACATTATAAAAGGACATGACAATTGTAATGATAATGACGCTGGTTTACTAGTAAGGTCATCTTTTTTTCCTACTCAGCTTCCTGTTAAGAAAGGTCATTCCTTTCAATGTCAAAGAGGAATATTGGTTAGGATTTGCAGGCCACAAGATGTTTTACATAGAGTAAATGGAAAATCAAAGGCTTGCCACCAGTCCCATGTTATTTCCTTAGTCATCTGCAAGGAACAAAAATCCTCAATTTCAATTTACAACTGACAAAACATTCTTCCTGATGTCTTGCCTCTGAGAAATCTGGTAGACAATCCCAGAAGATACCATTAAATGAGGAAATGACATTAACTGTATTCGCTGTGTACATAGTAGATACGTGCTGCCAGTTTGCATTGCATTTATCTGTAAAGATACAGCAGATCAAAATGTATTCTCTAAGGATTTTAGGATGCATTATGTTTACATCAAGTAAGAAGAAAAGCCTAATTTTAAAACAAAAGTGATATTAAATGAAATTTCTTACTCAATGGGGCATTTCCTTGAAATAATGCTTGCTTTGTTCCAAAGCTATTTCCATTTGTAGACATAGCATTATTATAAAACTCCGAACTAGTCAGATCACCTAAAATTGCATCCAAATTATCCAAGTCTCCACTCATCTGAAAAAGCAGCAGTAAAATAACCAAGGTTACTTAATATCATACAACTATCATTCAGCTTTTATTTAGCTCCTCACTAATCTTAAACAATATTACTGAAATAAATGTTTTAGTTCACAGACAGTACCTTAGGCTTTCTCCCAATTTCCAAAGAACTTCCAATATCAATTAACTATGTTTTTTAGAGTATTTTGCTCTGTTAATTTTGAGAATAAGGTGATGTTGGAGGTACACATAAATAACAAGAGAAGTTTGAGACAACTTTTCCCTCATTTAAGGGAAAAAAGAGTACAAGAACCAATTAACTAAACCCAGTCAATATCTATTTTAAGCATTACACATTTTTGTGTATTGTTTATATTTTCAAAATTACATTACATAATGTCTGCTAGTTTTACTTTTTGCTATTGCATTGCCAGCTAATTATAAAGGCATTTAACAGCTCTGTTTCCTAATAAGCCACAAAAATAAACATGTGCAATGTGAAATTGCAAATGCTAAAGATTTAATTTTAGGTAACAATTTGTAAATATATGCTACCTTAATCAAACAATAATTTAAAGTCTGCACTACGCCAGGACTTCAGTACAGCTACAGCATTTGGTTAAATACATATCCCGTACTTCTATTTGTTTGAACGTTGGCAGTTAGAATAAAACCTGACCACATAGTTGCCTACCATTTGCACATAACTTTGTTAGAAATGTTTATACGTGCATAGAAAGAGAGAAAAAAAAAGGGGGGGGGGGGTTGTCCTCTTACCAACTCACTGTAATAAAATAAAATAAAACACTGGCTAGTTCATTACCACCACTTTACATTATACTCTACCTCCTCTGTTGGTTCCGTTTTTATTTTCATGTCCTTTTCTTGACTGGAAGTAGGAATAGAAGAACTACTGCATTGACCCATTTTATTATCCACATTTTCTACTTTAGGCTTCAACTCTTTGGAAAGTGGATCCTTAACATCATCTTTATCTAACAGGTATCTTAGTAAAGCATTGTTTTCCTTCTTCTTTGGGCTCAGTTGTTCCTGTTTGACTGTGCCTTCTCCACATGGGGCTATATTAGCAGAGTCATGGTATGTGTCTTTACCAGTAGCTTCAGCTGTGATCTTGGCTACTTCTGCAGGAGAATTACCGTTCTGCAACAATTTATGTAAAATTCTATGCTTCTCTTGCAGGAGTGACCCATGCATGTTTGAGGAGGAAGACACCCCTCCAGATGTTGATGAGGAAACTCCCGAAGGACTGGTAACATTGGTAGAAGATTCTTTACAATTAGATTCTAACGGTGAGTTTGATGCTGTGGAATGTCCTCTTTCATCTGAGGAGCACGTGAGTAACTGAAGCAGCTTTTTATGCCCTTTGCTTTCAGATTGTCCTCTCTGACTTTCGGGTGTCTCCAGGCTTCCCTCTTTACTATCTTTTTCACTAAGAAGATCCCTGCTGTTTGATTGGCAGAGGGAACTTTCCACTTGATTTTGTTCACAATACAAGCCGGAAGGGCTTTTGGAATCTTGGGTGCTTGCTTTATTTTGCTGAGCTACACTCATGTTTGGGGAATTATCCAATTTTGGACCCGGAGAAGAAAGTGTTGATAACAGGGAAGTTCCAACACCCTCACTAATGGCTTGAAGAGCACTAAGAGAACTGCTAGAGAAAGTGCTGTTGCTGGTGTTGCTGGCAGATCCCATTGGAGAGTGCATACCTGTATCACAGAAGAGAGAGCAAACTTATTAGATTACAGTACTGACTATAATTACTTTTCCTTCAGGATTATGTCTGACTGCTACATTGAGTTAATTACTTTAAAATAAATTTAAATAGGAAATTAGGTATAATACATTTAAGTCACATGTACATGGTCATATAGAGATGTTAAAAAGGATGAAAAATTGAATTCAGATAAAAGTGGGAGAAGAGAGCTTTTTAAAAAAATAGCTTGCAGCAAAAATGAAGTACCTGTAACTGGAGAAAACTGGTGCGAACTCATTTTTGGACTCCCTCGATTCCTAGGAGATATCATTATATTCTGTTGGTTGGATGTTAAACCAGGACTACCATGTGGTGGGCTACTTATATTTAAGCCATAACTGTTGTTCTGATAGGCAGAGGACTGCATTCCTGGTCCAGAGTTCACTGGCCCCATACTACCAGGGCCTCCATATCGAGAGTTGCTCAGCTGACTCACTGTATTGGGATCTCCCATGCCGTAGTTCCTGTTCTGCAATGGCATGCTTTGACTGGGTGACATGTTCATAAGACCACCAACAGAATTTGTATTTCCAGCCACAGGTGTTCTCATGTTTTGCCCAACTGCGTTAGGATTTGTTCGATATCCATTTTGCTCTCTGTAAATTCAACAACCCCATACACCCCAAGAGAACAAATTTAAACTGTATTCAGAATCAAGTGCTATAAAGACAGAACAACATTATTAAATAATTTTTCAATAAGAGAAGTGAGAACTCAAGCATCTCCACAAAAGCAGAACTGAAATATGCCACTCATTTATTCATTCTAGAAGCGTTCAGTCCTTTAGGTGAGTTGAGTTACAAGTGCATACAGTATCACCCCTTCTTTCTTCTACTTCGTTCCTGAGTCAATGCATGACACTATCCTAACATGCACACTAATCACACCCTGAACAATCTCAACTGCTCATTTTTCAGCATCTGGAGGTACTTTAATGCCAGAAGCTGAGAGACTCCCTCCAGAGTGGCACATCAATTATTCCTGCAATCAACAAGAACAGGTCACATGAAATGCTATTTAAGGTACATTTGAGTCATCAGTGATGCATCTGAGGGGGTTTTGTTGTTGTCTTTTTAACTGATCTGCAATTAAAAAGAACAAGATGCAAGATAAAGCATGTAACTAAGCATTTCTATTTCCAGTGTTTCATCATTTTAAATGTTAACCCAAAAGAATACTAAACACATAATAACAGGCCCCCTGCAGGAACAGAAGGAAAAACTTCCCTTTTGACTAGGACTGTCATTCTGCCACACAGCTGCGAGGCTGCATGTCGACTAAAATCTTAGATTGAATAAATGTGTCATTTATTTTCATGCTATGCAACACTGCTTCCCAAATTATTATTCTTCTGTTTGACCTTTAACGAAATAAAATATTTTGGCATACTAGTTTTTCAGTTATCTTCAATGTTAAATGTATTTTTAAAAGCTATGACACTTAGATGACAGACACCATTGATTTCACCTTTGAAGAAAGTGGGTAGAGACAAATCCATGACGGTCATTAGTTACAGGATTTCGAAATAGTTTACTCTTTGTTTGTGCTGTCACGATAGTACCATCCGCTAAAGAAAACCGATACAGTGGTGTTTCAGCATGACCTTGTGTATAAGCTGTAAAGGAAATACACAGATATCAGTCGTATATAAAAGACCAAAAATTGTTAATATGCACCCTACAAATTTTTCAGCAAAATACCCCTCTTCTGATGAAGATAAAAATAATCCAAGACACACTCAAGACTGATATTCAACTAAAGGAAGCATTACTCATTTTCTCCTCTAACAGCAGAGGGAGCAGAAAAGCAAACAAAAGATTATTTTGATGCTGCAGTATTTTGTGCTAACCATGCACAGCTGGCAAAGTTCTACATTTAACAGATTTCCAAGACTAGATTAGCAGGTTTCCATGACTCGTCCTTGGGGAGAAAGACTAATCAACACTTAAATAGCAACTTCAGTTAAATAAATAGGTAACAAATATGAAATAGAACTGAAATTTGGAAGGCTTCTGATTAATTACTTTCAATTTCTTTTTTTTTTTTTTTAATCAAAAAATTGTGGAAACCACTGCTTTTAATCTGAGACCCAAATTTCTTCTTAATGTGAGAATTATTTAATCAATTAAGTTGAAGAACTTTCAGTGGAATCTCCATTTTCTGCCACTAAATGTTTTTCCTTATTTAATATCCCTCCTACTTGAATTTGTTAATCCTTGAGAACCACTAGAGTTTAGAAAATGTAGGAAATTTTATTTTCTTACTGTAGATGGTGGCTGTACTTCACTTTATCAAGATTATCAAAGTAGCATTACAAAATAACACTGGAACACTGAAAATATTTTGAAACCCTGTGTCTTGAATAAGATGAAAAAAGGCATCAGCACAAACATTACCACTTTTCAGACCAGCTAACAAGTAAACTATCCTTTCTTTAGCAAAATAAAATTAAAAGAAAGTCATATTAAAAGAGAATAACAAGCTAACGACGAACAAGTATTACATGTTATTACAGAAATTTAGCTGTCACTGTCCTTGCTATATCCATCCATGGAAAAAAATATTACTTCAAGCTTCCAGATTATTTATCTGGCATTTTCCATGAAAAGTATCTACACAGACACATTAGAAAAACAAAATAAAACTTGTATCAGAATTTCCATTTCTTAACAGTTCATCCTTCTTCAGACTGTACATATGAGTCACAGCAATCAACTAAAAATATAGAAAAAATGTACACAGGCAGAATTTTAGCCACTTTTGTTTTTCAGAAAAATATGCAGTCACTGGGAAAAGCAGTACAATCAAATTGCAAACAGATTTTTACCTTCATGATAATGGCGTTTGTTTGACCATGTCTGTCCATCATTATGGCATAAGAACCTCTGAATACATCGACGAATTGTATCTTCAAAGCCAGGTCTCATGGAAGATCGCAATGAGTTTGTATCAATGTTAACAAGTTTGCCTGTTACATGGAAGAAAACATGCAAGATAAACTCCTCCTGACTATGCCAATCCTTTCATATAAATATGGTACATTTCTGAAGGCTCCAATATCACTGTTTGAATTGTTCATCACCGTAACACCCAATTTTGAGTATGCAGAAGCTACATTTATGAATAATCTGCCATATGGGAGTATGATGCTACATGTTAAAACATCAATACCCAAATGGATTTAGATAATCATAAAAGAGAAGTTCAAACATCCACACGTTAATGCTAGGTCTTTTAGAAAACATACAGCAACTTTATCTCCAGTTACAGGCATCTAAAGGATTCACAGACAGTAAAACTTTCTACTAACCAGCTACATCCACAAATTAACATCTTAAACATCCACAAATTAACATCTTAAACATAAACACCTAAACACCCCATATAGATAAGTATTTCAATTTAAGCAATGTAAAGCACTTTAAATATTAGCTCACGTACTGCAGAAAAATACAAACATTCTAAAGAACTTTCATTACCTTAAATTATGATTTATATTTCTTACATGTGAAGGAAAGCATAATGAAAACAATTTGCAACGCTGCCAAGTAAAGATACAATACAGACAGAAAATACAGACAGAAAATGTGTCCCACACTTGCTATTACACCCCAGTGTCAACGATGGTATATTAAAAAAAAAAAAGTTAGAAATTCTTGTTATGAATTCTGCTAGTCACTATGGATCCACAACTTACTTATTTATCTAAAACAAGCACATGGGCAAAAAAGATACCTTCATACCTTCATCTTGGGTACATTTCTCACCTGAAAGATCATGTCTGGTAATAAAACTCTCTGGGTTTGTTGGAAATACTCTTTCAGCAGTTGTGATACGACGTGCCACACAAATCATACAAGACTGCAAATCTGTATTTAAAAAATAATAGTTTTTCTTCCATTTCTTCCTTATTTCATTCTGTTAAAGACTAATAAAATAGCTGGAGCATCTTGCATTGTTAAAATAGAAGTATAAACAATAAGAATTTAAGTTTTGGCATTCTGTTCCTATTTCATTCAGAAATGGATTGCATAAGCTACAGATTTCATAACATATACCAAATAACAAAAAGCTTTACTCAGAGATTTCTTTTCTGCACAGTAATTGAATAAAATTTCCTACCTTCCCCCTCTTCCATCATAGCTCTTGGCTGAGATAAAGCAAAACACTGCATTGTTTCGTATCTCTGACGTGTATCCTGATGGCTGCCTACATCTTCCAAAAGATCATGAGAAGTTTTCACCATCATCCGGCAATTAAATGTATGGCTCTTCTGTCTAGGTGTTTCATTGGTCCAAGCAACACCGTTAACTTAAAAGAACACAGTATGGGTTTATAATGATTTTCTATATTTTTCTTAACTTAGATACCTTGTTACTAGATTACAGAAATTAAAGAATTTTAAAATGTACTCAATATACCATCAGTTCTATACCTTGGGAATAGTAATATTGTGAGCCAAGTTAAATTAAAAAACTCTTTCCTTAATATGATACTTTCACTCTTACTTGAAAGACAGCTGAAAACTTATTCCCAGATTTAAAAAACAAGCAGTTCCTTCAGCTAGCCCTGGAGCTACACAAAATGTGTTCCTTTAGTACGCTTGTTTTAAGTTACAGGTAAACAAATTGAAAAGGCTAGAGTACAGTGTGAATTTCCAGCACATTTATTTCTAGTGGTGTGCTTATTAAGAATATTTTAATTTTGTGCATTATTAAGAACGTACTAACATTTTTTCAAAATTAATATACTTTTGGAGTCAAACTTCCTTTGCAAAAGTAAATTGTTTTGTGAGGTTATCCGTTACAAGTTACTTAGGTGTTTGTTTTTTTCCTTCTCTGATTATTTTCAAATAGTCTAATGACAGTATAGTAAGTCAACTTTCATTACCTGAAGATTTTGGTAAGTTTTTAAGGAAGTCCTTCCGGTCCTCTTCATGCAGGATACCATAGACGCTTGTATTTACCAGATCTTCTTGTTTATATTGCAAATACTGTGTGACATTTTCTGACACAAATACTATGTTCCCATCTCGATTTACAACAAACAGGAAACCATCCAATGCCTAAATATCAATGTGACAATAGACCATATAAGACTGCAAAATTCTGAACATAATTTAGTTTAAAAATTATGCAGGTGCTAAATGTCAAATTATAATATATGCATTTCTTTTCACTGGTAGTACTAAATTTTCAATCTTTTCTGCTCAGAAAATTGTGCCTGTTAAGAAATGATTTCAATATCCAAAATCAATCTATTCATTTATTATTCAATTGAGATTTTTCATAGTGATATCCAGCTTTCATGTTTTATTCTTTCTTTATCTGAACCCAAGATAATGAATTCATAACATTATTTCAATAGCTGGCAAACTCAAATACAAAGAAATTCAGTAGAAACAAGTAGTAAGACCTGACCATGAAGACATTTCCACCAACAAGTGACAAGGTAACAGAGAGTCTATCCGTTTGTTAAAATACTGTATGTTCTTAACTGAAAGAAAAATTAATTTTTTATTCAAAATGATAGTTTCAAACATGCTTTTTCTTAGATTATTATGCTTGATAGCAGCATTTGTTGAAGATGCTCCACATTTTAGAAACACAAACATCAAAATACATCACAGACCCCTAGTCTCTGTAAAAGCTCATCCATTTATTTTAATGGACACTCCTTAAAGCTAAGGGAAAATATTCCTTTTATGGCTAAGCCCTGCTTTAGTAGTAATTTGCTAATGACTGCCAGAAAAAGTAAAGCACAAGAATACAAGAAAAGGCCAAAGGTTATTCTTTTCTTTCATTCTACAAATTATTTCAGCAAAAATAAGAAAAAACAATGGATTTTATTTCTGATCCTTTCATAGTTCCATATAGTTCTTGCATACTATATCACTATAGCATTGCAGACTCTATTGTAATACTTTCAGCTGCTCTAAATATCTTTTTTTCCATAGGGATTTACCAGGTACCTAGTTTGTACTTGCCTGTAATAAAAGAGGTCCCAAGGAATCCTTATCAATAACTCCTTGACCCGTAGAAGACACATCAGCTTTCTGAACATCATCATCATTAGAAACAGCTTTTCCTGAAAATCAGATGTTTCCATAAAGCAACATTTCGTATGAAACTATATTTTTAATATTACTAGCCAGATTCTGAGAAGTAAATAAATAAATAATAATTTAAAAAAAAACAACAACTGCTAAAAAAAACACTGAGAGAGGAGATCTCAAATAGTGCGCATTGCTTATGACCAGAATAAATGTCATGGCTACATAATATCAAACCCTTTGCTCACAAAAATTGACTTGACAGTTAAAAGGTGGATCAAAGCAACCATCACTCTGTTTTGTGAACAGTATTTCTTCTGCTGCTTCCGGGATCATATGTCTGATGAATGCTTGATGAATCTTTCAATGTCCATTAAACAGACTTTTTGGCACATCTTTCTGATTTTATTTTGATTATCTCATCATCACTGGTCACAGTCCTCAAATGCTATCACAACTGTTCTATGAACAGTCATTGGTAGTGTTAATATATGTGTTTGTGAGCACACAAATCTGTCTGTATGAATACGTATATATATGAATAAAATTATATTTTAAGGATCAAAATATCCTAAATGATAAATTTGGTTGCAGGCAAAGGTGCAATGGGCATCCACATCAAGCAGGAGAATTACAGGAAACAAACAGTAAGCTTTGTTCTGTGTTATCGCATACTAAGCTGTATAATGAAACAATTATTATATAAGAGTACACGCAATTGCATTAGAAATATCTTAAAACAGATGTCAAGGCATCTTTTTAGAATTGTTTTAACGTATTCAAAATTGTGGTAAATTAGCAGGACGGGCAAAATACACAACATAGCTCACTTGATTTGAAACAAGAATCTACTGTTCAAAGGAAATATGTATTGTCGACACTTGGTAGGCTAGTCATTTAAAATATATATATTAATATGTATATATATAGTCATGTGAAATATATATATAAATATATATATATAATACATATATATTCCATCACTATGAATTTCCTTTTTTTTTTTTTTTGCATATACCTATTTCAAAATATATGTATTATACTACTTAGTCTTTCCCTTTGAAAGAGGAATCACAAGAAAATGAAATTGTTTGTTTGGCTTAGCAGGGAACTGTACCTTGCTCTTTTATCTGTCGAATCTGTCTCACGGTTTCTTTTAAAATAGCACATTTGTCTGGTTTGACATTGAAATTATCAATGTCACTCAGATTAGCAGATATCAGTTCAGCCAATTCTTCAATGTATTTGCTTTCCTGCTCACGCCGACGCTTCTCACCACTGCAGGTCAGACTAGGAATCAAAAACGTTATTAAATATACTTATATTCCATCATGCACACCGGCTGTATGCTCACACTGAACTTCGATGTACTTCTCGTAACACCTATCTATTAAACCTAAGTAGTAGTCATTCTTCTAGCAAACACAAATCTAACGGGGTATGTGTGTGTTTTGGTATGTTGCTGTTTGTTTGTTTGTTTGTTTTGCCTTTTTTTTAATTTGTTTTGTTTTTAATAATCTTAAGTACCAATTTATCTTAAGGGGGCATGAAGTTATTCATCAAAAAAAATCCTTCTGTGATATTCTGTTGTCATATATTGAAAATAGTCACCATCTGAAATGAGGCCTGCAAATCAATTACCAGATATAAGATGCTGCCTCTGTAATTACTGTGAAGCAACAAGTTTTTCTTCTTTTGTCTTGCTATCACAGCTTCAAACAGTGACTCCTTAAACATCCACTCCAATAAGATTTAGCAAGAGACTAACTACTGAGTGTAGTTCATAAGCTTTGGCAGATCTACACATAATAGTAAAGCTGTGCATCTTCACAACAAAAACTGGCCTAACAATTTTTCAACTGAACACAATGCTTAGAAAAAACATTCTCAAAAGTGCAATGAAAACTTTTCAGATAGTAAAACAAACAAACACATAGCAAAAGAAACAAAGTAGTCTCTATACACCTACCTTGCACCTGGGGTATCACAAGGCAATGGCTTGCGCTTCCTTGACTCATTGGCCAAGCTATCTAAGGAGTTTTCTCCTAATCCACTCATCCTGACCACACATCAGCAACTAAAAGCAATACAATAAGAATTGTGAATGAACCTCTCAAAATAAAAGTATAAAATGTAGAGAACTTATCCAGAAAACTTATTTTTATCTATAGAACTGAGTCTTCATTTATTTATTTATAACTGAAAATCCATCTACCATTTTACTGTTAAAAATATACATCTGGTTACAATTTTTTTAAATCTATTTCACCAAAATATAGGTTTACAAAACTTTGCATCAATGTCAGCAAGACTAAATGTAAAAAAAATGCATTTAATTTCACAGTATAAATTAGTATGAGTAATCTGTATTCTATATATGCTGAAATAATTTTTCCCATTTTCAGAGATGTTTAAAGCTTTGCACCATAGAACAGGAATGACTGTATAGCTCCAATTTGTCTGAAAACAGTAAGATTCTCAGTGTTTTAATATACGCTAGAAAACTTGATAAGAAATTGGTTTCTTTACAAATAAAACAATAAAGGAACTAAAATGGAATATAGCCTTGAAAAGACATCTAGTAAACAAAGTGCTTCCAGGACAAGCCATCTAAAGAAAAAAGAGAGGTGTTTGCATTGCTCCTGATGTACTAATTTGGTTTTTGCTTACCAGCTTTTTGTGGCAAAAAATACTACAACTTAAGAGGAGCAAACTGAAAGGGAAAGACCCACAAGACCATACTTTTGTGAAGCAGCAGAGGGGTTGCTTGCAGCAGTTGATACTGTTCCCATTTTATGTCAGCTACAGACAGAGAATTGGGGACATTCTTCCTACAGCAATACTAACCTTTGAAGACTTGAAAGGTTTGCTGACTGCACTGAGGAGGATACACTGAATTGCTCTTGCAGATTTGCACAGTTCAGAAGTAGACTGGCATACATTTAAAGCACTCTTAGCAGCTAAGCAAATGTTTAACATAAAGTCATATTGATAACCAAGTCTCATTCCAAGTGATATGCACTAGGACAGGAAGGGTAACATACTTTGTAAATCACAGGAAAATTAAAAATAACTGTAAAGTATAATCTTGCATTTGAAACAAACTATTACAGAAGATGCCTAACTCCACAACTATAGCAAGGACTGCACAGATATGAAGTTGGTGTAACAGCTAACTCCTTGATACAAAACCAGGATGGATAAGACAGGGTAGATCAAAAGGCAAGCCTGAGGACTGTTATTCAATCAGGTATTTCTCCAGGGTAAAAATTCCTAAACGCAGGGAAAATAGCAGCCCACCTTGCTTAAAGTACACAATTACACCGCTAGATGACAGTATATTGCTAAACAGCAGCATGAATGGTATTTTCTTCAATTAAGCAGCTGAATGAAAAGCTGCTCAGCTGAACAAGTAGTTTCAAAACCAAATTATATAAACAAGCTACGATAACGCAAAAAGCGGCCGATTCTCCAAAGTGGAGGCTCAGGACAGAACAGACTCACAGGGTCTTATGCCCGTGGAGCTCATGCTCAGGCTGTGGGTGACACACGCACCCGAGGATCAGGATTGGTGCTTCTCCCCTCCCGCAGCTGCATTCCCAAGCAAAGTGCGATGCTGCAGCACGAAGAGCTATTGCAGCGAGAGAGAGGATGAGCCAAGCTATAATAAGATTCAAGGATGGCTCAGGAAGGGTGTGGGCACAGCAAGTATGTCTGAAGCTAAGAGCAAATGATTCTATTTAAGAGGAAGAAAGATTGAAACTGTATTAAATAGTGGAAAAACCAAGCTTGGATAGCTTGATTTTTGGCATTTCAATGGAATGTAATTTGGGTTGCATTAAGTGATTTAGAATGGAAATGCCATTTCTGGTTTGGCATCTACCTGTATTGACAGGTATCGAATTCAGCATAGGATTAAATAGAAAACAAAGTTACTATGTTTTGTCTCAGAAATATGATACACATCACAGCACTTGTATTCAAGAAAAACGTTAAGTGCCTACAAATAGAAGCTTGAAGAAGGAAGAAAAAACTTGGTAAGTGGTGTAGCTCGTTTCCCTACTGTTATACCCAAGTAGCTTGCATTACTTCTTCCATCCTGGAGCTGCAGAGTGCCCTGCCCATGCCTTTTCTTTCCCCTAAGAATACCTTTCCAGAGGTATTCCTGAGAAGGTACATAACATCTACAACAACTGCTTAGCTAAGGAAAATCTAGCAGCTGCTTTCCAATATGCGTGGATTTACAGTACAAATGGTTAATAGTCAAACTAATCTTCCTGCTACAGGACATCTTAGCAAAAGAAGCCATTATTGAGTGAGTTAATAATGAAACAAATCACCAGTTAAAAGATATCAGATATTACCTTTATCTATTGAATAAAAACCTGTAATTTCTAATGGGCTAAAGAGATTTTTGAAAAATAAATCTATTTGAGGGACAGAGGGATTCATTATTTTTTTTATGCTACCCATTATGTTTAGAAGACCACTCTGAAACAGTTTTCAAAAGTTAATGCATTTTTACCACTGAAATAAAAGAAGTTTAATATAACCACCTTCGTAAACCTATTTTCTGAGCTAAGTTAAAAGCACAATTTCTGGCTCTTGCATCTGTAATGCTAGCTATAAAAATGGTGCTAGAAAGACTCTACTGCTTATATTGCACAATCTGACTTAAGGAAAGCTTTATTTATTTATTTATTTTTAGAAAAGTATTGCACAATGAAATTCTTATTTGCTTAATGAAAAGATATTTATAAGTTAGCTTAATCTGACACAATAAATAGCTCGGTTACTATGTAAACCAAGGAAAGTGTAAGAAACTTTAGATAAGTATAAGTTACCTAAAGCACAGGAATTATAATCTTTCATTATATATTATTATTCTTACTCAGAACAACTGAAAGATAGGCGTGACAATAATGACTTTCATAAAAAATCTGACAACTGGTTTGCTAACTTTTAAGTTTATACTTAAAGCAAATTTGAGAAAAGATGTTATAAGAGATGGTTTAATGTCTTCAAAGAAAAAGACATTAATTCCTTCAGCTGCAGCAGTAATGAACCACTATATACTAATGTTCCTATATCCACCTGTGGATTGGAACCAGAGGCAGCAACATTTGGAGAAAATGTTTCAAACTTCCATGACTATTTAAAAATATTAAATCCTAGAATTGTTTTTGCAATACCCCTAGATTTACCTTTTCCAATATAATCTTATATTTTCCATGTTTTTTCTCACTCATCAAAATGGGGAATCAAGAAAACAAAAAATAACAAATAACTTTTTGCTCATCAATAAGTGTCTTGAAAAAAGCATTAGTCCCTTTTAATGAGGTGCTTATGTCTCTACCCTTGCCTTATACTTTTCACATGGTAGGTCTATTAATTTTTCAATGAAAATCATAAATGGACTGTTAAAAAAGAAGCACTACTGTTTTGCACGACATAAAACCAGTTCTAGTAATTAACAGTCCATCCATTTCAACAATACATGTACAAATTTCAAAAGACAAACCAACTGAATTTAAAGAAATCATCAGCATTCAGAAGACTGTCTCTTTTCAACCTGCCAGTTTCAATATTTAGAGGCTAAAAAATTCTAAAATTGTGTCCTGGTCCATCAAAAAACAGTAAGCATGTCAACAATAAGATGTTTGAAATTCAGAAAGTTCCTAAAGCCATTTATTAGAGAGCATTCAAGTCAAAAGCACATTAAGAAGTACTGAGTACATTAAGCAGAAAGTTTTCAGCCTGATGTGATCTTTTCTTCCCTGGTCTTACTCCCCTCACTCTCACATAAACTGGAATGCTCCTAACTTAGAACATTAATTTCTGCTATGTTGTCTTTCAGTGCGCTCGTTTGCTTCTTCAAGTGCTACTTCCCTTATGTTCTTTCTTATCCCGGTGTTCTCAGTTGGTTAAAGAGCTATTTACCAAAAAGGGTATGGCAACTGGGAAACTTTTGTCCTATCAGAAGCCAAACTATATACTTCAGATTTAGGTTTTGTATTTGTTTAGTTGAAATAGTTGACCATACACACACACACAAGATAAAATTGTATTAAGCGCATACACTCTTTTAGCACTTTTTTAGTCCCATGAAACCATCAACATTTTGCTATAGTAAATATATGTATTTGTGGCATATAGCACATTTGGAAGCTCTTATGTCTGAGCTGACTTCTTGTTTCAAGAGTTCACTAGGGAAAAAGCATAAACTGGCTCTTAGCATTCCCTAGAATAAGCCAATTATGAAAAATTAAATCAAACCAGTCCTTTTCAGTGAATCATGAAGATGGCCTGGAATTTCTTTAATTGTACATAATTTTAAAGTATTAAATACAATCTTCCTTTCTAAAAACCAAGACATAATTCAGAATACTTCTTAAGATGCAAACTGTAATAAACTGGTTTATGCTAAGGAAAGTCCTAAATCATTAAATTTAACTTTATGTAAATAAAACTAAAGACATTCTATTCAGCTGCTCCCCATTCTTAAGAAAAAAAATATATTTTTTTTCCTTAAAAGCATATATATATAAAAAAAACATGATAACTTTCCAGTGATAAATTCTGATTCAAAATATTATTCAAACCAGCCAAAGTTTCTTTTGTTGCAAGACTGACCACAGAAACAACTGACATTCCCATTTACAAGGACAGGAGTCCACACAAAAGCAAACTCAAGAAACTCCCTTTATGTTAGTATTGCAGTAAGCCTTTGGTTCTCTCGCTCTCTTTCCCTCTCCTCCTCTCTTTCCTCCTTCTCTTCCCCTCTCCCCATGCTTCTTATATACTTACATGCATAATATGCAGCTTTAAAAATGATACAGAAATAACTGTTCAGGTACATATAGTCCAAGTATAAAATGGGTAACTTACATGTCCTTAGCAAACATTCAAGCACAGCATATTTTTCATAGGACCTTCAGAATCAGAAGTCATTTTAAGTCACATCCTGAAAAACAAAAAAGGCTGTACAGCTGAAAAAAGTGTTTGCTTTTCAATATTTCATCTAACATTAATAATCTTTTTAAAAAGTAAGCACTCATTATTCAGATATTTTAATGTGAAAGATTATAACTCAATTGTACTAACTGTAACTGTCATTTTTGCTGTATTCTAAAAAAAATCTGAATCTCAACATCACAAATGCCACCAGTATGATAGATTTTCTTTCTTAAAAGAACTGAAAATGTTTATTTTAAATGCATTTTTTTTCCTTTAAGAGGAAAAAAAAGTAGATGTTTGATCTTAGTAACTTTAAAATCTATTTAAAAATATATATATTTTGTAAAGTTATGATTGGCAAGTACAAAACTAAGCACTTAGCCACTCTGCGTCAGCTTGTACATACTGCTTTGCACTGTTACATGAGAATAGCAAACTGTTTTCCAAGCTACAAACATTTGTTTTTCTGTTACCCTGTTTTTCTATGAAATTCTAGGAATGAGTAATCCATATTATCATGCATTTTATACAAGGTACGATTAAGTGTACTAATTAGTGAGATTCTGGGTCTCTACAGAGAATTACGGTAACTTAGGAAAAGTTTCAAACAACAGCTGCGTGATTGAATTGATTTACTGAAAACTGCTTAAAGCACTATGTAAAGCAGAGGCTGTTCAAGCTAATTAGAAAAATAAATTGCTCTTGGGAAATATTTATGAGACATTCACATGTAAGCACACACTACAGTCCTATCCAAAAGCAAGAGTTTCAAAACCGATACTTCTACCCAGACTACTTAATAGGTAATAACCAGCAGGCAGGTAAAGGAGTTCTATTCAAGTAGCTCATTTCTTAAGAGATTAAACTGAAGCTTTTCTTATCAACTGGTTGCATTCACATTCATCTGCTGTTTTAACCATCCCTTTGACAATACTGATTGTAGCTTTATTTTGAATTGCCAATTAGAAGGTTGATTGACAATGTGGTCACATAAGAGTAAGCATCAAGAGTAAATTGTCTACTAATTAAAGACGTCTATAACACTATTTTATGCTAAATCAACCTCTGCTAATCATGGAAACCAGAACATAAGAGCACACAGAAAGAAGAAAAATCAAAAGAAATCCTAAGATGAAGTATCAGAAACATTTGTTTGGACATGATGGAAAATTAAATCCTTCAGCTGCTCGTTTCCATAAAAATGCTAACCAGTCCTATACTGCACTCAGTTACAGCTTGCCACCTAGCTTCCTAGGGTGGTCTTATACTCAGCAAAAAGGCTATTTGCTAATATCTCTACTGCACAGGGTTTACAAAGGAAAAAGGTAGCATAAATTATATTCACTGCTCAATGCGATGTGAAGCTTTTTCTTCCTCAGATTTTTAGAGCAGCTTGATAAACTGATGCCTACGCCTGTGCAAGAATGGCGGTAGTTCAACATCACAAACAGGAGTCTCACTGGAAAGCTGAACTACGCAGGAGAATCTGATAGTGCTAAATCACTTGAAGAAGTGTGCAGGAGAATCAAGACCCACCAGTACCTAATGGATTCTGTATGACTGGAACTGCAAGGGGAAAGAGAGGAACCTTGAGAAAGCATAAAGTTGAAAATCCCACAAAAATATTAATACTATTTAAATGAGTTTTAGAATATTCGTAAATATTCCTTCTATAGATGTAAGTAATCTGAGCTGTTTAAAGAGATGATGGAATCAGAATTCTGAAAGTAGTACTGCAAGAAATTAACTGCAAAGAAACCTCCTGAATAATCCCACAGGAAGGCCCTTAAAGGATTTAAAAGAGCATCTAGAGTAGTATTCCCTATCCCTACTCTAAAACCATACTTCCTCATCTGAGTAATGAGGTCACAGCCAACTTTATAACAATTTAAATATAAAGAATATTTTATGTCAACACTGTTTATGTCAACACTGTTTTCTGTTCTGCTTCACCTGAATTAGTTTGGGTTCCCCGAGTGCCTATACCAAAGCAGAGTCGTGCACCAAGCGATTGCCAGTCTCAAAGCCAGTGCTACTCTACAGTGCCTGGCATTTGGGGCTGTGCAGTTGCTTCTCCATCAGCTCTCCCCACACTGGTACCGCTTTCCACACATGAGCATACTGTTTCCTGACTAAAAATGGTTCAACCAAAATAAGACTGTTCAAACAAAGCCATTGTTTGGCATATTTTGATGTCAATGAGTTCGACGTACGGACCTTCAGCTGCCTTCCCCACTTTCAGGATGAGCTACAGAGATTCTCAGTTTACACCATGTAGAAATTAGGCATTCAACATAGCACAGATAAAAAATCTAAGTCTAAAATTGGTTGTTTTCAATCTGATTTTTAAGAAACGTTACAGAAATATTACACTAGACTTTGGATGGAATGGCCAAGTGATAAACCATATCATTGTATGTGGCACAGCTAGCAACAGTAGGACACATTCATAGGCAAATGTACCAGATGAGGTAAACACAATGGCTACCTTTAGAAAGATCTAAAGAAGATTACATCTTCGGTCCTCCTTAAATGTTTCAGAGATAATTCATATGCCTGCTTAAAAAGGAAATCAAATATAACACACTATCCTGTGGACTATAGCACGTTAAAGCAACATCTTTTTTACCCTCCTGGGGGGAAAAAGAAGCAGACGGAAAAAATACCTTACTGAACCTTAACCACAGCTTTGTGAACCGACAGCAGAGTGTAACTAACTACAGAAACAGATAAGACTGAAGTACAGAGTTAATGTGGAGCTTTTGGTGTACTGTAACTATTTTGTGCTTCACCTATCTTTTAAGTTTTCGCCTATACTTTAAGACTAAAGCAGCTACACCCACATTATGGAGGAAAAAGCAAATTACTTTGTTAATTGTATTGATACATCATTATCCAAATCTAGCACTTTCCTCAGTACGACAACTGATAATAAAACACTATTCCAAAACATATGGATTGCATCATTCTCCACTCCCCTTTTCTCCCACCCTCTCAGCCTCTATTTTCCAGATAACAAATAACTGACTCAGACACAGACTTCACTGAATAAGGGCTGTCAGTTAAAAAAAATAAAAGGTGCTATCTATAATCTGGTAGTCAATGAAGCACACCTTGTTACAACATGTTAAACAATCTTAACTCAGCACACATCCTTTTTATATTATACGTTCCATCTTAGGGAGACTGTAATTTTTCAGGCCTTGTCAGGTTTCATTTACCAATTTCCCTGCTGCGTTTAGTACGCACTACGCACTTTGACTCATTTTTTCAAGACATGACAATTAACTTGAGCCTTGTTCTCTTTGCATATATTAAAATGACAGGGCACTTTCAGTTAAAGGATGGGCAGAGGTGGAACACACTCCTGGTACTTCTCATATTCCTCTGATAAATAATGTGTGTGCTCTATTTTTGGAATGTCATTACTTGTTAATTTGTTTCCTATACGTCCGTGTTTGCTAGCCACTACAATAGATTTCAGATCCTGTCATAACAAAACAGAAGAAAAACAGGGGTCCCAGTGAACTCACTGTCACAAAAAAAGGCTAATCTTTATCCCTCTGCCTTGACCATTTGCCAGGTATTCTGCAGCATAATGTCTCACCTGTCAGCTTCAGCACTGTGCTAAAGTGGTTAAAGCAGCTCACCTGTGACGTGTGAGCCACACTCTGCAGTCGGAACAAATGTTGTCCTCATAACCCAGCTGCAAACAGGTATTGAACTTACACTTAGCAAGCTGTTCTCATTGGGATATAGCTCTTTTAAGTAACAGGCAGTTGGACATGACGCAGCCACACCATCTACTTGCATGACACTGGCAACAGGAGACTGAAAGATGCTGAAAGGAGCCTTTCATCTCAACTAATGTCCAAGCCCCTGTACTGTATGTGGTTGTTTGGGCTGTCAATAGAGCTGCTGGTATCTCAGGTTTAGAATGTTTTTAACATAGGTAAGTCCTTACCAACTTGTATCTGGAAGACTTAGTTAACATTAAAAAGAAAAAATGCTATGGATATATCTAAAGAAAGAATCCTGAGCAAAAATACCACCAAAGAGACAGGATGTGATGTATGGGCTACTATAATGAGACGTGGTAACTACATAACTGGCAAGAAACCACACCACCACCATTCTTTCCTGTACATTCAGACACAACACAAGAAACTCAGGCAAGTCATTGGCTGACTGAAATATATATGGTCTGCTTGAGTTTTATATTAATATTTACTGACATTCTAGAAGTGGAAAACACTTAAACACTTCTTCCCCATCATTCTTGCCAAAATAGTGGGTGCTATGGAAAGAGCTTGTGCTGTGACCAGTGTGCTATTCTCTTTACTGCTGATAACAGCAGCAAAATCCTTAAAAAAAAAAAAAAAAGAGAGAGAGAGAGAGAGAGAGAGAGAGAGAGGAAGAGAGAGAAGAATTTTAATGAAGTTCTCCATTTACAGGACAAATTGCCATTGCCAGAGCTCACAAGAGAATACCAAGGGAGAGTCACTTTCCAGATTTACACAGACTTAATTCAAAAGTGACTCCATGCCATGAGACATGATATAATTCACAGGTTACTAAAACGAATTTAAGGCATATAACACGTCTACATATTATGATGTCATCTAAATTATGAATTAAATTTGAATTAATTCACATAATTTGTTAAAAGGGAAGTATAAGATCCTAAATTATTTAAATTAGGATTACTAATCCAAGCTACAAAATCTCTGTAAATTGGGAATAGAATTAAGAGCCTTAGAACATGAAGATATGAGTTGGACCATATAAATCTGAAAACATAATTTATTTTTAACCACCTCTAACTTTTATGCTTTCATGTGAATACATTAACTCACCTGACGAAAGCTTCTTTCATGCCTCACCAATATGTGACTTCAGTGGGAGTAGTAGTAGTAAAGCCTGACAAAGTCTACAAGGGTGAGATATTTGCTTTGATACAGCTATCTAAAACTGGATCTAAACAGGATAAAAAGTTCATTATTTTTC